TGAAGTCTAAATCAAGGCTAACAACATTCAGTTAAATTGAATTACTGTAATCACATTACGCTGAAAATTAACTTTGAGTATGCAAATTCAATACTCAACCCCCTTAAAAGTTTCACCTGTGTGATTAGGGTACAAAAATGCATGAAGAATCTTCAGACAGTTTTTTCTCTTGTATATTCGTATTTAATCCTCTGGCATTTAAAGTTCCTTTCCATTTTATAAAAATGTTAAACACAAGCAAACTGAAATTCTTCAGCATGTTTTAGTCTTTAAGGGAAAATAATGGCATATGTGTAGGAAAAAATAAGGAAGAAAGAAAAAAGCTGATATTTTTGTTAGTGTTTCTATATTTGTTAAAAAAAAAAGTCAGCAGTGCTCTTCTGCTATGGGGCAGAAATCTTCAGAAGCAGAGGTCAGGGGGAAGTTTGAGTTTGCATGTGAACACAGAAGTCATAACCTCTTGTGGCTTTTCTTTCAAGTGCTACTCCAAAGATAATCTCTAAAGTGAGGGATGATCATCCAGGACCTGATGACAAAAGACACCTGCCTTTAGTACCCTTGAATGATTTGGAGCCTATCACCAATGTCCAGATCTGGTTAGCTGATGGGGAAAGGATAATTCAGAAATTCAATGTTTCTCACAGGTAAGATTTATTTAACCACTGTCATATATATTTGCATCTGAACTATTAGTCTTAATGCTTGTATATTTAAGTCTTTAACTTTTATGCCTAATCTACCTCCTCAGTTCACTTAGCATTGAGCTGCTCTTCAGTTGTATTTGGAAAACCTCTGAAATCTTGAGAAATCTTTTAGCTGACAAGAGAGCATAAGAGAAATATGAACTGTTAGAAGTGAGTTCATAACTGAGTGTAAAGGAAAATCTGAGGAAACTGTAGGAGGTTGGTGCAGATTAGTGAAAGTTAAGGTGTACAAATTGCTTGTTACTAGAAGAAATAGCTTTTAACATGATAGATCTGTCATGAAACAACTACATCGGGAGCAAATGGCTTAGTAAAAAGCCTGCTGGTCATTGGACATAGGCAGCACCACATGTGAGATCTGGGAAAAGAGTTAAGCCAGAGAAACCTCTGGGGAGGGCTGGAGTTGGTGCACTGGGCAGGGAGGTTCATCCCCTGCATGTCAACATGGACAGAATAAAATACACACAATGTGTTTCATTCTTAATTAATAAAATTTATGGTTCCCAAAGAGGCTTAAAAATGAGGATAATGTCAGAAGGTGTCAGCACAGTGCATGTATGCAGGAGTTTTGAGAAAGTGAGATTAACACCTTACTATTAAATTGTAGAGCTACTGTCTTTAGAGACCTTTCTCAAATCCAACTTTGAGAAATTACTGCAGTACTGTACAGTCATGTCATGTGGAAAGGATATGTTGCCTGTGCTTCTCAATGAAACAATTTAAAGGTATCACAGATTTAATACAACCCAGGCTGCTGTCAAGATAAACTGTGCATGTCTGTGGCTGGTCAGAAGGAAAGCTGAGCTGTTGAAGGTTAATGACTGTAGTGTTTTCTCTGACTTGTACTAATTTATTACTGTTAGTAGCCTGAGATACATACTGAAACACTGTTGTGATGTACTGCTGAAGGGTAAATTGCTATTTTAATTATAAATACTTAATTGAAGGGCTTCATATTTCAGTGATTCAAGGTCCTACACACTTAAGTATATTTAGAAGCTTTTTGTCTTCATACTAAATAGCCATTTGAACAGCTGCTAAGTGCATTTGAGAGGAAAAAAACATCCTAGATAAGCAGAAAAACAGCTTTACTGTTGTAATACTTTTTGAAGTACTGTGTAATAAATATTCTATCATAACATAGCCTCTCACCACAAGACCAGCACGTTTGTGCTGTACACAGTACTTGCATATAACCTTATAAGAACCAGAGGGAAATCCTTTTAGAGCACATATCCTTAGGAGTGATTGCATACACAGCACTCCTTTCAGTGCACAAGACGGTCAGTTATTTGTTAACTAAGGTATAGATTAATAACATGTAGCACATATGTAGCATATTACCCAGTGTCTGGGTAAATTGATGGCTTTTAGCTTTTTGCAGTTAGATTGTGTAGGTGCCACAGTAACTGCTGGCTTAGATATGAGTTGATTACTGGTGAAAGATGGGAGCAGAAGCACAGGAAGCATTGTAGTGTTGTACCATGGGGAATTGAGACATGAGAGTGCAGCAACTAGGAGAGCAGAGCTGTAGGAATAGCACACAGAGCTGTGTCCTGGATTGAGTTGTGTCTCCTCTTCAGCACTTACTATGTTTGTGTGACCCTGGAGCATAAATTATGGAACCTGGAAAGGAACTTGTTCACCCTGAAACAGAGAGCTTGTGGCTAATTGCCCAAGTTGCTCTTGGAACCCAATGAAATTTGATATAATGCATGTAGACACCTGTAAATGTTCAATCAAAAATTTAGTCCTGCTTGAGGTTTTTCAGGCTCTTGACTTATAAGACCAAGCAGTGTCTCTATGTTGAGATCTGCATGCACAGGAATTAGTTTTTGTTTTGCTGGCTGTGTCTGTCCTGGTGAGTGTGGCTAAGGCATGGAAACTCTTGGGCATCTGCTGCTAAACTGTTTGGATGGCATTGCCCCAAGCCAGCCAGCACTTCCTCAGTCAATACCTAGCCATCCATGGTTCAGCTGTTAGCTCAGGACCTGGACCATTCCAAGGAGACAGTCAACCTCATGGGAGACCCTGTGTGTGGAGGGGAGGAAGGATGAATTTAGGAATTTGCCAGCAGCCTGTATGCCAGTTGGCCTCAGGACCAGAGAATGGACATTGACACTATGTTAATTTTATTCATACAGATGTATCTTCTCATCTTCCTTTTCTAATTAAATGAGTCAATCCTGATTCTTCCACAGCAAAACTTCTGTCTTGCTCAGTTGTTGCAAGGCTCTTCACAAGCAGATTGAATCTGCAGTGAATTCACCATGCCCCTGCTTTGGGAGGATGGGACTATACTTAGACTTAATCCATGTATCAGCTGTCCAAATAGTTTTTGCAACCCCCTTTTCTTTGTTTTTATTGTGGTTCGGCTACATGAACCACACACTGGAGGCATTTATTCTAGCTTTTGGCTCCAGAACCCTCAGGTAAGAGCTCCACCAGCTGGTTAGGAACTGGTAGGTTTGTGTAACTACATATGAGCCACAGTGGTGCATTTGAGTGCTCAGAATAAGATACTCATGCTTGTCCCCTTGGGACTACTCAGAGCATGCAGACCTTGGTCCTTGCCTCCCAAGTGGATCAGGCATTTCAGGACTCCACCTCATCTGTATTGCTCCAGTTCTGTGCTATCATGCATTCCATGCAGGGGTATTTCACTCCTGTCCCATGGTGGCTGTGTTATGCACGTGTGTGGGGATTGCAGTGCCAAAACTCTAATGCGGAGTTTTTCTTACTCTCTTCTCAGAATCAGCCATGTCAGAGACTTCATAACAAAGTATCAAGGATCTGAGGGAGGTGTTCCCTTCACACTGACGACCTCCCTGCCTTTTCGAGAGCTGCAGGACGAGACACTCACACTTGAGGAAGCAAAGCTGGAAAATGCCGTTGTTGTCCAGAGACTTCGGAAAACAACTGAACCTTTCAGACTCTTAGTGATAAAAGCACCTGACAATGACTACAAAAGTGCTGCTACACCTAATGGACAACTCAAGAATGAGCAAAAAAATGCTATTAATAGTACAAGATCAAATTAGCTTTTAACTGACCAAAAATTATCTGCAGGGTGAACTAGGCAAAACCAAAAATGTAACCAGCAATATGTGGATGCCCTCACATCCTCATGCACTGTGCTCTTAGAGAGCAGAATAGGTGCTGTGCTGTCATCTGCTATAACAGAGGTATTTTCAGCTAAACTGGGTGTTCAAAGCCTGGCTGTATAATGTAGCAGAGGTAACTGTACAGCATGTTATCCTTAGAATTTCCTTAGGTAAAAAGCTTCTTAGTATTTAATAAGTGGGTCTAGGTGGAACAGTTCTCTGAGACTTAACTACTGATAGCACCTTTTAAGGAAAAATAGTATTTATTTTTTGCACTTTGGACTAAAGTGAAGCATTTCACTTACATTCTAGTGTAAACTGCTGCAGTTTGCATTCTTCTCACAGTAACTCTTTGACAACCAATACTGCAGGCAAGCTCACATTTGAACTCTACCTTGAAAATCTTCAGGATGTAACTTTTATCACAAGATCTGCAGTGTAATAATGTTCTGTCAAGTCTTACACATGGTGGTGGGTGCATGTGTGAGAAGATACAAATGAGATAGTTTGGTGCATACTGCATATGAAGTGCCTCAAAGTAAGCTCTGAAGGAATTGTTCTGATCAATGGTTGAAGTGGTTTCTGCTTCTTTTGGGCTGCTACGGGTGTCTTGCAGATCAGGTGGCGTTAAACTACCTAGCTCAATAACATAACGACCCACTTGTAGCTTTGTCACACAAAAACTTCAGCTTTTTTGGCTATTACCAAGCAGGAGGGACACAGTTGTTTTTGTACTGTTTATCTGCCTCTGTCCTGAACTGCCCAGCTGATGGAGACACTAATTGCATGTGGTCAAGTTTCAAAGATGTTGAAAATCCTTACTTGAAAACTGACATTTTTCTCTCCACTTTGCCCCATTTCCATCCAAATATTTTATTTTGCTGTTCACTTGAGGCATAACATTTGTAGCCAATTATTCCATGTTTGCTAAAAGAGAAAACAACAGAAAGACTTAATATTTTGTACTGTGTTTACTAAACATGTGGGTTTGTGAATGGAACTAAAATCTCCAGGTAATACATATCCCAGAATCTTCAGTGAGTCCTGACTTCTCTGTGCTACCTCTGCCAAAGGATGGGTGTTGGGGTTGTACTTCTTTTGTATGGTTAAGTGAAAGCTGGGTTTGGGTTTTCCTGGTTTTGTTATAAATAGAAAATTACTTCATTTGAGCAACCTGTATTCTAAAAAGTAGTGAGACTTCAGTCTAGGGATGTACTCTCCTTCATTCCCAGGGTTATAAAACTGGTTTGCTTCAGCATCTCTCATGGTGTGTTTGAAATTAAAGTCAACTGGGCAAATATCTATTGTGTCCTCAGAAAGCAAATCTCTGGAAACTATGCCTTTAAATGCTTTCCAGTGCTATAAACTTCCTGTACTACTGTGCCATTCAGGTCTATGTAGCAAGTAGTACAATTAAATTTTCTTTGCTCTTGCACTGATTCCTATATGAAAAAACAAAAATATATGTGCAGACAAATATATTAGTAAAATTGAAAAGACAGACCACCTACGGACACAGCTCCAACCCTCAATACCCAGAGCTTCCTGAAAAGGGAATTTAATTAATCAGTGCTTCCAAATTTGTCTTAATATAAAACCTAGTATTAGAAAAGCACATGTGGTTGATTGTGAGCTCAGTTGTTATATCTAAAAGGTGCATGAAATGTCGAAATTAACAGTGTACTACTATTCATGCATTTGCAGCACAAAAATTTGAAGAAATAAATAGTGCAAGATTGAAATTGAAGGGGGGAGTGTAAAATTCTGAGGTGGGTAAATTTTGCTTGCTATCCATTGGAAGGAGTAATAAGTATTTTGTATTTGAACATTGATTCATATCTGCTACCAGCATTTTAAGGGATTGGACAGTTAGCTGCTTTACTAAAACCAACTGTCTGACTGCAGCTTTGGTGTACTTGAGTGTGCATTTGCAGTTTGAAAGTGTCATGATCTCAATTACAAAATGAGAGAAAATCTTTGAAAAGTCTGAAGTGTTGCTGGCTGCATTAATCCCATGCTAGATCAGAAAGTGCCTTTAAATAAAGGCAACAAATTGTGATTGAATAATTTATTTCCTAATTTGGAGAAAATCTTTGGGAGAACAGAAGACTTTCCTAAATCTAATTGGTTTTGGACAAGTTTTTAAAGATCGATTAGCTACCTGTAATGTCTGTAGACAGCAATTGTGCATTGGTCAAACAACACCATAACTGGCTTGATCAGTGCTAGAATTTGTGAAATACACAAATTGTTTCTTAACAAGACTTTGCTTTTTCGAGTGCTTGAAGATACGAAGCAGAGAGAAGAACAACGAAAAGAAGTGTACATGCAAATGCAGGGAAAAAAGTGTTTAATGTGTTATGAAGATGGTGTGTAAACACAAAACAACCTAAATGTTGAATTTGAATGTTAGATGCATACCTTGTACTGGCCAGTCTGTTTCTGTTTTCAAGTTCCTCTGGCATCAGCCTCTAGAGACCCCCTTCAGGGAGTTTTCAATAAGGTGTGTTAGGGCCACAATCTCAGTTTTCTGTTAAAAGGTCTGTTTTTTAGAAAATTCTTTAATGCCTTGTTCTTTCAGAATTTTGCAAATTTGCTGTAATTTGTTCTTACCAAACAAGGCTGCATATGATTTAAATGTCAGTACTTGGTTTGGCATGGTTTGCAGTGCCTGCAGGTCACCCACCAGGTGACCCTGTCAGGAGCAGAGCCCTTCAAATCAGTCACACCAAAAAGCCCTGGGTGTAGAGATTGATTAGTCATCACCTCCCCAAGACAAGCAGGTCACAAGTCCTGTTGGCTTCGTTAACCCCTCTTCTCTTAGGCTACCTCACTGTTGAAAGGATTCATACTTCAAAATGCACTTTGTGTTTCTTCTGATGAAGAGCATGCGTGCGAGAGCACTTTCCCAGGGGCAGGGTGGTGGTGAACTCGTGTATCCTAGATAAGAGTGTTGGCTCGGGGGCAGCAGAATCACAGAATCAGTGAGGTTGGAAAAGACCTCTGAGATCATCGCGTCCGACCTAGGGCCGATGACCACCTTGTCAACCGGACCATGGCACCGAGTGCCACATCCAGTCTTTCCTTAAACAGCTCCAGGGCCGGTGCCTCCACCGCCTCCCTGGGCAGCCCCGGACAGTCTCTAACCACCCCCAGGGCAGAATTGGCAGCCGCTGTTCCCCAGCGCGTCTCAGCACAGGGGCGGCTGCTGTGTGACCTCCGTCCAGCTGACAGCATTGCTGTCCGGCCTGGTTCTACATCGCTGCCCATCGGGAAACCGCGCGTCTCTTCACGGGGCAGAGGAGGCGTTTTGAGGCTGGATGAGACCAGCTCCGGCCCCTTCCACCCCCGTGTCCCGTCCTTGAGCCCGCACCCTGTGGAGCTGTGGCGGCCGGGAGCTGCCCCGCTCCTCTCCCCGGGGCGGGACGGAGGGCGCGGGGCAGCCCTGTCCCGGGCCGTGAGGGCAGCACCGGCGCCTTCGGCCCTGCAGGGCGCTGGGAGAGGGCGGCGAGGACGCCGCCCGCCGGCTCCGCTCCGCCGCCCCGCCCCGGGCGCAGGTGTCGCACGGGTGGGATGTCCGCGGTGCCATGGCGGGGGCTGCGAGGGACACCCCGGCGGGCGAGCAGGAGGTAGGGGGCTGCGAGGGGCCGGGCGGGGGCTTGGGGAGCCCCTCGGACACAGCCTGGCGAGAGCGGGGTCCCACCGCGGGCGGGTCGCGGGCGCTCGGCGGGGCCGGGGCAGCGCGGGCGCCCTGAGGCCGCACAGGTTTGTGCGGGGCTCTGCGCGGCCCCTCGAGTACCTGGAATAGCTCCGGAACCCTTCCCGCAGCCACGGCGTTTTCCCTGGGATGAGCTGCCCGGGGTTTGCTCGCTGGCCGCTGCGGTGCCAAGGCAAAGCGCCTTCGCTTCCCACCTCCTGTCCCCTCCCGGGCTGCTCCCGGACCGAGGCAGGCGGGATGCGGGAGGCAGGAGGGGTTCGCTCCCCCGGAGCCTCAGAAACTCCCGGTTTTCAGGGGTGTCTTGTGCTGTGAGCGAAGCTATCTTACGCTGCCTCCTCAGACTCGGTGGTCGCCGCAGTAGGAGAGGGAGGCAGGTGAGGGTGAGCGAGGATTCCCCAACTCCATGGCTCGTGAGGGAACACCAGGTGAAACTGGCACGGGGCAGCTTCCAAACATAGTGGATGAGGAAGCCTTTCACAGCATGTTGCGGGGCATTCAGCTCATGGAGCTCTTTAGACACCTGGCACGTACTGTTCAGGCTGAATTTTTGTGTTTGGAAAGCATCTGGGTGAATTCATGGCATAAATCTGCAGATGTTGCACAGATGCACCGTCTTGTCTCACAGAGTTCCTGAGAGCTGCATTGCCAGCAGCTGGAAGAATATCCTGAGAAAGCACCAGTGTTTGCCACCTTACTCATACACCCTTTCCTATGTGTCTGCACACAAACCCTGCTCCTGTTTTCTTCCACTCAAGGGTGGGCTGATGTCACTGACAAACCTGAAACCAGCCCTCAAGATGCTCGGTGTGAGGGACCTGGGATGCCACCCGTGACTGCCACATTCATGCTTTCGAGAGGCAGTTGTTTGGTCACTCGCAGGACAGAAACACTACCAGTGTTAATTCCAAATTGAGAGAAAAGCTGACTCAAGAGCTGCTCCTCGCTAGCTACATTTCATTGTTTCTCAGATAAACCTAGGTTAACATTTATCTTTGAGTCACAGGTTTCACTCTCTGTTCTTCTGCTTTTAAATTACTTGTTGGTTCAGTTCTGGGCTCCGCTGATAACGAATAGCTTAGGACAAAATGCGTCTGCTCCCTATGCCTGTAACACAGTTGCTAAGCTGTTTTCAATGAGCTGAAACACTTTCCGTAGAAATAAGATGTTCTGCTATAAATATTGTATTCAATTTCTGTTCTGTTGGGGAAGGGAAAATTTACAAGTATGGTTTTAACTTACAAGAGAATTAAAAATCAAGGAACTACAGTGTAGGAGAAGCATTAATTTTCCATAACAACGTTTAAGCTTTCTATTTAAGGAGCAAAATCAAATCTCTCAGCTATTATGCTTTCTTGGTTCGCCTTGAAACACAATTAAATTTGATACAATGGGAGCATGTGTAAGTGAGAAATTGTAAAGTTAATCTGAGAGAAAAAAAAAAAAAAGTAACTTTCTTTGACCTTCTGTCCTCTTACCTTTCATGCCATCATCATCTCACATTTCTCCTAAAGCTTGTAGAAACAATTTGATGTTGAGGTTCAATTACACCACAGGGGTCTCAAAACAAATTTTTGATAGTACTTTTATGTTTCATTCCTTATTTGACCACTGCCTATCCATTTCTGTCTCTAATTAGTTGAGTACATTCAGCTTGCTGATTAACCTGCACAGGTGAAGACGCTTTTAACTGGATTTTGCAGGAATCAAGCATTTTGTGTTTGTTGAGGAAGCAATGCAGCAGGGACACCCAGCCCTTGGAGGAAAGCCCTGTGAGCTGCTGATAGCCAGTGCTCTGCCCTTGGCCATGCGGCCCTGCTCAGTGTTATCCTTCCCAAGACAGCTTCTGTCAGCATTTGTGAGCAGTATCATGCAAACCCAACCAAGGCTGGGGGACTTGCTGCTGAGATCCTGTAACAGACAGCTGCCATGTGCATCTTCTGTGCTCTTAACTGTAGGAGGTTAGAGAGAAGGAAATGCTTCAGCTTTACTGGTGCAGAGTCCTACCTTCATTTTACTTCACTTTCCATTGCGTACTGAGGCATGAATTCAACAGGGTGAGGCAAAAATCTACTGTGGGCTGCTTCTTTTTTGAAAGACACACCAGAATGTAGAGTCTGAGGGATTGCTTCTCACCAGCTAGAAGCTCAGGGACACTCAATGAAATTACCAGGCAGCAGATCTGTGGTGACAGTGGCATTTCCCTCCACAGTACATGTCATTGCCATGCAGAACTGCTGTGGTGTTTATGGCTTAATGTACAATCAAATTCCAAAAGCAATTAGGCAAAATAAAGGGAAATCAGGTATGGAGCAGTGTTCAGAATGTAACCTACCTTCCAGGGGGCTCATGAACTGCAGATTCCCTGTCTTTCTGTGGGTGACCAGACTGGACACCTCTGTATGCCATTTCTATCTGACAGCTTGTTTTATTCTGAAAATAACATTCATAACCAAAATTTAATTAAAACTTAACTACTGCTGTGACCAAAGTATTAACTTTGCTTCAAGGGGATCTGGGAACATGGTTCAGAGAGTAGCTGAGCAGCATTCTGGGTGTGTGTGGAATTGCAGTGAGACTTCATAAAAAATGAACTAAGATTGTCAATTTTCTAACCATGAAACAGCTGTAAAGACAGGAGTACCACCTGCAGCTTGTAAGTGTAGATCTTGATTGACCATTTCATGTACCACAGCTTTAATTAGATTATTTCTTAAGAACTTGACATTCTTTGTCTTCTAAAAACATTGTGGAATAATGCCTATTATATAGAGGCACTTACTTTTTCTGTTTTACCACAGCCTTAGCTATTGAAAGGACAAGGGGCTATAGTTTCAAAGTAAAAGAAGCATGTAGGAATGAAATTATTTTTTTGTGAAGGTGAAATTCTTTCCTGTGAAGGTGACCTGGCACAGCTTGACCAGAGAAGCTGTGGCTGCCCTATCCCTAAAAGTGTTCAAAGCCAGGCTGGATGGGGCCCAGAGCAAGGAAGGTGTCCCTGCATGTAGCAGAGGGGTTGGACTGGATTCTACAGAAGTCCTCTCCAATCCAAACCATTCTGTGAGTCTATGAAAATTAAGTAAGTGTGAAAGCAGCATTACAGATCTAAAAGGGTTTTTTTCCATTTTTGAGGTTGCAATAGGATAGAGGATTTGCATAGCAGTGGTTTATATCTCTGGATTTCAGCTGAAAGTCATCTTGCCAATGCTTGGAGATCAGGAGGGAAAGTATCAAGGGAAAGCAAATTTTTAAAGTAATATAATGACTAAAAAAAAAAAAACCTTATAAAAGGGAATGACTGAAAAACAAAAAAGTGAGACAAAGTTTTAAAGTACACAGCCCCTGGGGCAAAGTTTAAGGGGACGGCAATGAGTCAAGCAAGTTCTGTGGGCCCACAAGTCTAGTAAAGCTCATATTTATTCGTACTTATGTATGGAAAATGACAAGTTACTTTGGACAGCAAATGTGTGTATAGTCAGTTTGTTTTGTTTGCAATCTCTTATCAAATTAAATAGTATAATTGTTACTATGAAGTTGGTCTTGTGACTGTTTATCGCTCTTTTTTTTTTTCCCTGCAAAGAAGAAAATTGCCAATGCAGTGTAAAATGAAGCCTGCTGTGGTGATAGCATTTTGCAGTTCATGCCCTGACAGTGGCCACTTTCCTTGGGTGTAGTAATGGGATCCCCACCCTGTCTTTTTCTGGGAAAACACAAAAAGGAAGGAGTCCTGATACTTGTGCTTGTTTGTTCACACCCACTCTGATAAAACAGTTCAAAGGGAAATGTTTAGATGATGAAAGGCATTGCCTAGAAGTCTAAAACTTCTCAAAACTGTTACGGAGTAAAGATGATGTGTTAGTAAATTTTAAAATGTTCAGAAATTAAATAATGAGTCAGAATATCATCGTGGTGGATTTTATCTCCATATCTCTATTTTTCATCTTGATCTAACATAAGAATTAAGGGCTTGTGTAGTCAGTTCAAAGAGAAGACAGACCCAGGATTAATATTGCTGCTCCTCTTCATGTTTCCTGGCTTCTGTTGACAGCAAATTTTAAAGAGGGACTGAAAGCCTGAAAGTTAAAAGTTTGATTTGATGTATTGTCCCTCTGAAAGAATACAGATTAATAGAGAGTACTTTTCTTTCTTCATTTTGAATTTGATGGCATAAAATTAAATCTTACACATTTTTAAGGGCTTTCCAGTATCCTGGAACTTCTACTGTTGGGAAAATACCCTATGTTTTTTGAGAAAAAAACAAATGTTATTAGAAACAGTGCAATTTTTGTATGTTAATTATTGGCATGTACCTTTATTTTTAACATTTATTTTATTCTTTTTTGCCTATTATATTTGAGAGTACTCTTGCATGCTTATGGTACTTTTCAAACATCAGATGACAAATGAGAGAGCACAGTTTTGCCAAATGTTTTAAATACACTTGGAGTAATTTTCTAAAAACTCTTGGGCCCAAAATTACTTACTATATGATGCCAATTTTCACAAAGATATAGAAAAGTCAAGTCAAAAGGAAGATATGCAAAGTCAAGTGACTTTGCTAGTGTCACACCAGCACTTCGTGACAAAGGAAGAAACAAAGCACAAATGTTTGGAATCTGTTTGATCTGTGGAACTTTCTGTGAATGTTGTTTAATTACTGTGGTATGAGTGTATGTATCAATTATTATTATCTGAAAGGTTAATAAAACAAATATATTTTTAAAGTAAAAGTTTTCAACCTTTAAAAATATGAATTAAGCATTCAAAGACAAAACTAAGCTCAAATAATAGTGTAGCACTTCTCTGCTGCTTTTGCTTGTTTGTAGCCTTGTTTCCTTTTAATGGCTTGTGAGGGGATGGTAGGTAAGCCTGAGGGTCATCCCAGCTCACTTTTAGGAACACTGTAATCTTTTTTCAGGGGCTGAATTAGAGAACAAACACATTAAAAATCAAAGTAACGAGCACCCAAATGCCTGTTGATGACAGGGATTGAGGGCATATGCATTTATTAGTGGAATAGCTGTGAAGCAAATACATTAAACTGGTGTTAACTATAGACTTTAACCTTATCACTTGTGTAGCTTTTAACTTGTGCACCTTGGTTTACTCATGGTTTCTTCTGTTCCTCTCACACAGGGGTACAGGCTCTCGATGTGCAGCAAACTCTGCTATGCCATAGGAGGTGCCCCAAACCAAGTGGCAGGGAGTGCTGCTTCTTTCTTCCTGCAGATCTACCTGCTAGACATAGCCCATGTAAGTAGCACAAGAAACATTTGCAGACTACAGACTTAACTCTGATATTGTCAGTCAAGTCCCTAGAATGATAAAAGGGGAATTATTCAATAAATATTTTAAATTGTCTTGTTGTCATTGCCTCTAGCTGTTCAGCATCCTGGAAACTGCATGAACTTGTCCAGAATTAATTTTTTCCCCCTAGTTTTCTTTCTGTCTTGAGATGAGCGTTGTTTACTTTTAGTTTGGGATCATTATTAGAACTTTGGGTGCTGTAGAGCTCACACACTTGCAGACACAAGGAAAATCAGTTCTCAAAATTAAGTGTCAGGAGTCAAAGAGTATAAGATAGGAGACATCTGAAAACATTAACAGCACCATGCTGTTAATGCTGAGGTTGTGAAGTTTTGTTCATTTGGTTTTGGTTAAAAATCACTCCAGTTGCAGCCAGTAGCCACCAGAGTCTTAACCTGTGCCAAGGGAAATACAGGTTTGATATTAGGAAAAAGATTTTTACAGAAAGAGTGATAAAGTTCTGGAATGGTCTGGCTGGGGGGGTGGTGGAGTCACCATCCCTGGATGTGTTTAAAAGACAGACTGGATGTGCCACTCAGGGCCATGGTTTATTTGAGGTGCTAGGGCATGGGTTGGACTCAATGATCTTAAAGGTCTCTTCCAACCCTGTGATTCTGTGATAATTTCACACAAATTTTATTTGGTTTGTCTAAGGTAACTTTGTGGCAAATAAAGCTGAGTAATCCTTCCTGAAGGTTCTTTGCTTCCAGTCTGTGGCTCTCTGGTGCAGAAGCAGACCTGGTGAAACAAAGCACTAGGAGTCATCCCATTCATCTGACTTTCAGCTGCTCTAGCTAGATTTCAGAACAGCAGAGACACAAAGAAAATCATTCCATAAGCAATTTTTACTGTTTTGGATTTTCTTGTATGCATGCATGGTAACTAGGACAAGGTACTAGGATAGAAAAAAGTATTTTAGGGAGTTGAGGCCAAATTGCAACGATTGTGTGAGCAGCTCTGAAACTACAGGTGGGACTACAGCACTGATGACTGTTCCTATTTGTTGGGAAAAACAAGAGGTTCTGGGTCAGATATCATTACCCATTTGCTGTCTAAAGATGAGATATTATGACTGGAGGTGTCCAGAAGTTTGGGGCTGTGTTTTTCCTATAAAAGTCCGGTATTAAAAGCTGACTTGTGACTTAATAAAATTTTTGACGCAGTAAGGTGTGTGTGTACAGCTGAGATCATCTTGAGTGTCTTGTTGAGATCAAGGTCACAAGATGCAGAAAAGGAGCCAGTTTTGGACAGCAGTGTCCAAGATGTTGAGTGGATGGTATGGAATCAGAGGAGTTGGAGGTGGAAAAAGGAGCTTGGAGGTACAGCAGAGAGGTGCAGCAGCTCTGACTAAAGCTGTTGCCCACTGACATCAAGGATAGCAGTACAAACCATTGGAAAAGGTGAAGCAGGAACTAAATGAGAAAGACTCTAGCACCATTTCCCCAGGGTGCTTAGAAGCATGGCAATTTCCCCATTCTTTGCTTGTCACAGAGACTGAAAATTCTCAAAGCAAGGGATTGGTGCTTCATGTGTTTGTGTACAGTGTCCAGAAAGCTGGGATCCCATCCATGCATATTTGGTCACTACTTAAATGCGTGACATCAAAATAATTATTTTATTAACAGGCTTCTCCTGAAACAAGCAAATAATTTTGCTTAATGTTGGTAGTGATATACTTACACTTTCATTAAGGGGCTTAATTATTTGTTCTCTGATGGTTTAATTTGTTCTCTGAAGTAGTCCTGCAAGGACAGGATTTATTTCAAAGTCTGATAAATAGCTCTGAAATCCTGTGTTCTTTCCCACACATTTTCAGGGGAGAGAATGTAATTATATAATCACTACCTGGATTTATTTCTTACTCACTTAGAGAGCAGAACTGTTTTAGCTTCTTGAGAGAATATGAAAGTCACAAAGTGTAATCTGTCATAGATATCTGGATATTTTCTAAGAAAATTACATTTTCTATTCATTTTCTGTGACTTACAGTTTTTCAGTTTGAATTCCTTGTTCCACCTAAGTTACCTGTATAGACTACAGACATAAGTGGAACTCCAAACAGCATAGGATCCTTGAGAGAAATTGCTAGAGGACACTAAAATTCTCTGATGAAAGGATCCTGGTCTTTATTCCTTTCAAAATGGGCAAATTTAGCATATTTTATCTTGTATTTTATTAACATTGAGAAGTTTCTGGCATTGGTGCTGTCAGATAGATTTAGGAGATAAGAAAATGCAGCCAAGGGATGTATAAGCCCATACCAATGATGAAGACAGGGTGACCATAGAGAATCCACTCCTAACATGAAAGAGATTTTGCTTTTTCCTCAAAGCTTTCTTCCACAAAATATCTGAACAAAATACGAATCTGGAACTCGTAATTTGTAGATTTTTGTTCTTGTCCCCCTCATAACTGCAGTATTTCAGCCCCTCTATCATTCTGACTGCTATTTTGTGCTTATTTTGGCTGTCTCTTGAGGAGCAATAGTGACCTGTGGGCAGTCCTAGTGCAGTCCCTACAGCGAGGCTGCCTCAGGGCTGGTGGGCTACTTGCCACCCTTCGCTGGCTGTGGGAGGGCACGAGCCAGCTAAGGTGGATCGGCACAAACTTTCTGGGGTGGAGTGTTTGTCTTGGAGCTGGTGGTGACAGCAACATTGGCTGCCACTGCAATTTCACCTAATTTGGGTTAAAGTGTTATGGGTATGACGTCAGAAGTTCATAGCACCCTCCTTTTGTGCTGGTCATCCAGGACATTTAAAGATCCTTCTTTCACCTCTGAGAGAACACCTACAGCAAATTCTGCAGGCAGGGTACCTGCACCAGTTGCATTCCTGGTGCTGCTGCCTGGGAGACAACATCCTTGGCAGGAAAGCAGGGGATACCTGCTCAAGCTTGGTGTTGTGTCAGCTGCACTTTCCAGGCTTTGGAGCACTGCTGTGTTGAAGCACAGAGGTGAAGGGATCTTGTCTGCTCTCTCTGTTTGAGCCACGGAGGCTCTTTCTGCCGCTTCTCTCAATAACTCTTGTGAGGAACATTTATATAGGTTTCAATGGCTTTTTTTTCAGGACTGTAGTTGCAGTGACATGAACTGAGCACTTGGAAGAGAACCCACCTTTTTTAACCATTGTGTGATGGAAATTCCTATGCTCTGTAGAGATACATGTGAAAAAATCCCAGCCTTGCCTGGGATAAGCTATTTTTCTATATAGACACTTAAGTATGGTCCATTTGGGTTAGTTTCAGAGGCTTTTCTACTTGGCTATGTTATTCTTATGTAATCCATGAACATTTTTCAAGTGAGATGTGATGGACACGTGCTGGCAACTTTGATTTGAGCAGATGTGCCTTATGCAATTCACTTGTCACCGCTCAGTCCCAGGTGGATAAAGTCTGTTGTGCAACATCCTCTTCCTCAGCCACATGCCACCAGTTGGCAGCCTTGTTGCTGATCTCAGGAGAGGAAAAAACATTGCTGCATGTAAACAACCCTCTCTACCATTTTCTAGATCAGGTCAAGATAAAGATATGGGGAGATGGAGATGCATGGGGATAAGAAGGTAATTACAGAGGGACTCTGTCAGATTTTATGATTAAAATAAAGACTTTGCTATTTGACTGTTTGATTGTTTTTCCTAATCCCAAACATATTCTGGATGTGTCCCTCCTTGCATTTTCCCCTTCTGATCACTTAATTCACAGCACCAATCTCAATGTCTCATTTGTTTGCTATGGGTAACCAATAGGAATTTCCATGACAGCAGCAGATGTGTTTTGTAAATGAACTATCATTATCCTTTAAAAGAATAAAACTGAGTTTTTTTTTTTCTGGAAAGTTGCTTTATGCTGTTTCATTGAATTGTGAAACAATGGCTCGTGTTTACTGTATTCTGTCTACTTTCAGATTACTCCATTTCATGCCTCTTTGGTGCTGTTCATTGGCAAAGCCTCAGGTGCATTTACTGATCCTATTGCTGGCTTTTTTATTAGCAAAAGTAGATGGACAAAAATTGGCCGGCTCATGCCTTGGTAAGTATAAATATGTACATATATCTATATATATATGTGAATATTGAGTCTTGTGATCATATAGCCATCTCACTGAATTAGTCTCAGCGATTGTATTCATTCACATATATAAAATAAAAACTAAAAACTGCCATGTCATGTTTAACTTGTTCACACATGAAAACACAAAAGAAATTTTATATCACTGGAGATGCAAGCCAAGAAATAAAGCCAAGAGACTGTATTTTTAGCAAAACTGAAAGCTGAGATCTAAAAGTTTCTTAAATCTGTGGCTGAATTTTCATCTTTGTCTACATTTTTTTAGTTTGACTTCATTCTTCCACAAAGTTGGAACTTATTTCTACTTATGTCCTAGAGTGCCTTCACATCTCACAATCAGCCTTTCAGGAGCTCCTTTAACTGCCCAGGCCTTTCAGTTCAGGGAAGGATGCGTGTACAGCTGTAGAACAGATGTGTGCATGGGTGTGGAATAGATGTGACACCGTGGCACCGAAGGGCTCAGCAGCCAGCACTGCCATGGCACTGTGTGAGGTTTTTCTTACAGCACTCATCAGGCTCCTGCTTTTCTTACATCCCATAGTCAGAACAGTTCATTAAAAAGTCGCCATGACTCTTACTTACAATGACTGAGATGTAAGGTTTTGAGTTTTTTGTGAAGGAAGTGTGTGATGCTTCACTGTGACATCTTACCTGTGTGCATATGCTGTCCATGTGCTCTAAGGAGGAGGTAGAACAATGAATGTTGCCCATATAGGAACAAGATTGGCAGCTGTGAAGCAAGAAAAATTGGAAAAGACTGGATCATGTTAAAGGAACTCATCTATGCCACAGGGCATATGTTTGTTGTTTTTTAGTATTTTGGAAGCCAAGAAGAGATTTTCGACTTTGTGAAATAGGGAGTCTTTCATCATGTTATCTCATACATTATATAGATGTATTGTATGATATTTTAAATTAATTGCAAATTTTTAATTGATATAACCCACAAACTTGATTTACTACAAAAATCTAAGAGTAAATGTGCCATGAGCAAGGAAGGTGAAATTTCAGGGAAAATGAGCACAGATTTTTAGCTGGTTCTCTTGCTGTTGTGCTGTTTTACAGCTACAGAAACTTGTCCGTGGGCAGCTTATACTGACAAAATGGAGAAGGCAAGTACACATTGGAAAAAGGCCGAGATCAGCTGCTCTTGGCCCAGTAAACAGGGCCTTCAGGTTGAAGTTAACCTTTTTGTCAAGTCTCATGGGAAAAGAGGAGCTTACTGCTGTTCCTCTTTTCAGGATTTGGTTGGAAGCCAAGTAAATGGTGTGGTTTTTAATGACCACTGAATTAACCTAGTAAGCAAGCTATCCAAAAGTAAAACAATGAAATTTTTATACAAATGCCATTAGAAGTATTCTGATGCTTTATTTATTTTCTTTTTAAGTTCTCTGAAAATACAGCAAGTCCATGTGTTTATTGTTAGTGTTACATTGATGTTAGAATGATTCCTGTCATAGCACAATCATGAATTTATCAGCCCTTTTCACTGCAAACCAGCTCCAGCACATCTTGCACTTCTTACAGGAAAAGTGCTTATCTAACACCACCTTTTATCAAACAACTGCTTTCTTTACTGCAGAATTTTGTCTGGGTTTTTTTAGTAGCATTAATATTTTTGTGTAAATTCTGTTTCTAGACTTTGAGAGTCAGGCCATTTTTTTTTACAAAGCAAAGAAAGGGTCTTCCCTTAGCTTAAAAATACTTCAGTATTTTGATTTTTTTTTCTGACTTCTTAAAAATCTAGGATGAAGCAATGGATTTTTTTCAGTTAGAAAAGCTTGCCTGCAAAGCAAGAACTTTAGTAAGGGAGGTGAATGTTTAATTATCACTTAATACTGTCCTCAGTATAACACAAAGTCATCAATCACTTACTTAATGGCTTTAAAGGGCAGAAGCAGCCATTGACTTGAAATACTGGTTGAACATTTTGTCACAAGAGATAATAGCTGACAAAAAATTCAGCAACTCCAGCAAGGCTTTGAAAACTCCCTGGCATCAGAGAGGAAAGGAAAATGTGGGAAAGGGAGAACAATACCAAGAGGGTTTTTGCTAAGAAGTTGCATGAAAAAGTGGCTGTGAGGATATTTAGTGTGGTGACTCTGCCTGGACACCATCTGGAAGAGCTCATGCTTTTGGAGAGGAAGGTAGATTCCCTGAGATGTGTTAGGATTTTACCCTTGTTTTCCATTGCTGTGGGTGAACTGTGTGCTGGGGACTGGAGGGACAGAGAATATCAGAACCTGGCACTTTCCTGGTAAATGTTCAGCTCCCAGTGATGCTGTCCATCCCAAAGAGCAGTGTGGGAAAGCCATTGTTTTACTAAACTATTTACCCACATTAGTCTTTTGTATTCCAGGTTTTCAGTTCACGATTGCAAAATAATCAGCTGACCCTCAACGTCAGTAGTGCTGTTGTGAAGGGATTAATCTGTTTTCTCTTTTATGTGTTTGGAAATTTTTTGTTAGGATCTTGGTCATCTAAATACATTGTTCAGTGCCTGATTTACAAGAATACAGGACAGGCCTGATGCTGCAGCTCAGACTTTTAGGAAATAATAGCATCTGACCAATTCTGTATCATGGAGTTTGACAAATGCTATTTACTTGAAATAGGTTTCAGACTAATGTCATTAATTGCTGGTTAATGGCAATATCTGGAATATAAGTTTTTGTGGTTCTTTTTTTTAAGCCACCTTCCTCTCTGAAGATGATCTTTTTGTGTTTGAAGCAATTAGTAATTAAATGGAGGAAATTATCATATACCCAACTAGACACAGAGTGTAGGAGCTTTCACAACGGGCTGTCCATTGTCTCTTTTGCTTTTTTGAGTGTTTTTAAGTCTATCAACATATTTGCAATTGCTTGAAGAGCAGCGAAAACACTAAGTTCAGAGGAAAACCAAAGGCACTAAAATTAGAAGGGGGAATATCAATAATAAGTAAACTCATATAAAAATTTCTGGAGTTTGCAAAGACATGACAGATCTTAGTTTTTTAGTGGTTCTTTCTAATAAATGTGTAATCTGAGACATGTGCCAAGGAATGGTGACATAGGTGTGCTGTTACAGTACATATGAAAGGAAATTATGTCTCTTCTGAGTGGGATATTAATTAAAGCATAGCTCTTTTCTTTCTGATTTGCTGAGGGCTTTTCTGATTTATGAAAGGGTTAATCTTTGTATTTATATATTTAATATTAATATATTTTATATTAATCTGTGTATTTAATGCACACTAACTTTTGATATTTAAAAGCATACATTACTGCAGTTAGAAAAACTGCATATTAAATGAATTGTGTTATATTGATTATTAGCAGAAAAATGTAATGCACTTTGCTATCATTATTTTAAGATTATTGATGTGTTGATTTTAAGATTGTTAATTTTCTTCTCAGGGTGCTGGCATGTACGCCCTTCACCATGGTCTCCTATTTTTTAATGTGGTACCTGCCTCCGTTTGTCTCAGGAAGAGTTGCTTGGTATCTGACTTTCCACTGCCTTTTCCAAGCACTGACCACGGTAAGTAGATTACAGGTGATGATGTTCTCAGCAGGAACTTGCTTGTTGTCTGTCTATATTAGAGCATTCATATTTAGTAAACTTGTTTTCACATCTTACTTCAACTTCTAGTGAGTTTAAGGGCCAGGAATATGCCCTTTTATCAAACTCTGCTGGTTGATAGTTTCTGCCAATGTTTTTTATGGTAAATGACCTGCTAATTCATCCAGGTTGCCTCCAGTTTCCTCAACTCATTCTTGTATAGATGTTCAGATTCCTAATTCCAGTTAGACATCCAACTTCTCATAACTTTTCTTCTCAGGAGCAGATGAGGTATTCTGTATTCCTATATTAATTTTGAATATTTCCCTAAGTCCTTTGTTTCCCCAGTAGAAAGATGGTTCAGAAGACATCCATTATGGTTTAAAATAATTTCTTTCATCTTTCTTTTGAAAGAGAAACACAGGGTTTCCATGGAAGAGTTTTGAAAATGTGCACATGTGCCATTTTTGGTGGAGGTGAATAGAAATGCATTTTGTACAAACTTTGTGGGATGCAGAGTGTAAGACTTAGTTTGGCTACAGATCTCTGGGGTGGTGGGAACACCACAGAGAACTTGGTTATTCAGGCAGGTTCATGTCCTAGTTTCACTTTGCAATGGTTTTAACTTACGCTTTACTCAAGGAGTGTCTAGCACAGTGGTGCTGAAAGACAGAGTAGTTTTCACTATTATCTCCTGGATTTACACGATTAGACAGATATTTGAAATATTTCAGGTATTTATGTAGTCTTCTGGCTTGAATAAAGTGGAAAAGTATTTCTTTTTTGTGGCTTTGCTTTCTGTTAGATAGCTCAAGCTAGGAATATGATAGTGTCCTAGTGCAAAGAAATCAAACTTCTTTCAGTCTCTCTGTGAAGGATGTTTTCCCAAGGAAGCTGAAGAAGCACAACATCAAGGTAAACACTCTGGGTATTTTATTGTTTATTATTTGTATTCTGAAAGATATTGTTTTCCTTTTATATGCTTTACAAACCAGAAAGAAAAGGCAGGTCTTTGTGCTAAAAGATTGGGGTTCTCAGTGTTCTGAACGAATATTCTAACTAATTCCAAGGTCCCATTAAACCATTTTCCTGGATAGCAAAATAATACAGCAGTTTTACCCTGACATTTCCTATTGTCTATCTTTCCATAGTTATTCCAAGTACCATACTCTGCCCTCACCATGTTTCTCAGCACGGACCAGAAGGACAGAGATTCTGCAACAGCATATAGTGAGTGTGATCTGGGCTCTCTCTTGGGGATTGGGGCTGAGTTTTCTTGAAAATCCTTATTAATCTATAGGAGGTTCCTAGTGATTTGTGTCCCTAAACTGGACTTTTAGAATGTTTTAATATGTGATGAAAACTAATTTGTCTTCAAAGGAATTTCATTTTTCTAGTTAAGTAAGAGACGTTAATATTTAATTGTCTCAAATTGTCTGTTTAGCTATAAACTCTGTTTGGTTTATTGCTAGCCAGAGGAAACAATAAAAAAATCACTCCTAACCAAGTCAGGGTAAGGAATAATGATTTAATTTCAAGGTGATTTGTAGGGGAAAAAACAAGAAACATTCAATTAAAGAAAGAATGAAAGTAATTTTGAGGTGTTTGTTGTTTTGGTTTTATTTGGAGTTTGTTGTTTTGTTTTGTTGCCTTCTTTTTTTAGTTCATATTTCCTTAGATTTATATGTTTCATGTTATTCAACATGAAATTCAAATCCCAAACCTGTTTTCTCAGAAGAAAATTTGAGAACTCATAGAAACAAGACAGTTAACCTCACCAAAAAGGAAAATAACTTTGTGTGCCTGTTCACACCAACTGAAATATCTTTTTTCATTTCATCTGTGTTTTTTAATTAATTCTGGCATACACCAGGTAGTTCAAAGGCAGCTCTTGTTGTAATATAGCTAGCACTCTGAGTGTATTAGTTAAAAGAATGAGACTTTCCAGACTATATCTCTGGCTCTTCAACAACCAAAACCAAATAAATTTTAGCTTTGAAGCAAATCAATCAGACCAAAAGAAGCACTGTGAAAATATTTTCAAGATTTCTTGTATAGATCACAAATTGAATGCAAGAACAGTTTCTTCCCTCCTACTCTCTTCAGCTCTGTTCTCGTGCCTTCTTTACTGCGTAACTGCATTAAGCAAGGTAAAGAGAAAAAAGTCAAATCTTACATGAAAGACTTCTCTTTGTCTTAACTTGTCTTTAAAGTGTTGGTTTAGAGTAACTTGTAGGTTTTTGTGTTGCATCTGTTTTCGCTTCCTGGCAAGATCCCTTTTCTCTTCCATTAGTCCTTCTAACCCTCAATATACTTGATTATGTTGAAACCCACAGAGGCACAGTGAAATAGAAAGAAGTAATAAAAATCTAATGTCAAAAATTCTAGCTATGACATCCCCTGAGTAACCCAATCCCTCTGCAGAGATGTGGAAATGTTGTAATTTGCTTTACCATCAACTATCTTTAAGAAAAAGTCTGGACTGGCAGTCACAGGACAGGACTAAACAGCAGGAGATTCCAGTTGTGTTATATTCTTTTGCACTGACTGTATTCTGAGTCATCTGGCCTAAATTCTAACTAAATCCATATACCTAGTGTTTTCTATTGTCTGGTTTTATGTCTTCAGAGGCTGTGATCCAAATAAATGTGCTTTCTGATCGGCTAGTCCCATGCAGGCCTTCACAGGCATGTGAAACTTGTACTCATAAAAGCTGTTGAACTCTGTGGCTGAGAAGTGTCACACATTTATGGTGTCAATATATTGTTCAGAAAGGGTTTAGCTTTTGAGTGTACAGCTGTTCTCCTAAGCCAAATTAAGGTGGTGGACTGAACCATAGTTTTGACTTTTCAAATGTTGGTATTTTTGTGCATGTTGGTATAATATTTGTTTGGAGCATAGTTTTCTTGTAGTGGTTATGCTTATGTGAGGACCATTTTCTTTACCTTTTCCTTTTTTGGTAAGTGTTTTACTTAGACACTTCTGCCTCTCTTTGGGCTTCATAGAGAATTCTTCCTGTTGATAGACTGTCTTGGATGCAGTCAGTTGTTCAGGCATTTCTTCAACTGTAAAAGAAAAACAGCTGTGTAATGTGAAGTGTGCTCTTAAAAATAAGGTTGGGACCAGAGGATCCATTACCCTCTGCTGGAGACAAGCAGAACTGCTTATTATAAATTTTATTCTACTGTTGTTATTAATGCAAGGTAGAAATACTGGATTGCAAAGTTGCTTTAATATAACTCCTATTTACATTCTGGCCAAAATATAACCCACTTCAAGGTAGTCTGCTGGCAGATCAGCCTTCTTGGCTCATGTGGAAATTAATACATCATAAATTCTGAGCACACAAGAACTTTGGAGGATACCTGTTCCTCAGCTCTCGCTACTATTTAGAAAATAAAGTTTCACAGTGGTTGTATTTCTGCTGCCTCTAATGATGCTTCTGGGTTTTATTCTATACAAGTTCTTGATAAATGCAGATGTAGAGCCCTAGACAAGGGTTATGAATGTGTAGGTGGTGTTTTGAATGAAAGGTGTGATTTGAGGGCATTGCTTTGCACTGAATTTGGAAGCTCTGCAATGCCCAACTGAGACCAGTTTGTATCCAAACACTTCAGACCATATTGGGGTTACATTTTCACCATCTGCCAGGATTTTGTGTGCATGGACTGAATTGCAGCATTGCTGGTAAGATTGGATGTGAAGTTTGGGGAAGGGGCTCCTTTTATTTCCCATTGGCTTAAATTAATGTTACATGGCACCTCAAATTTTCCACTCAAAAGCAGCAATGGTTTAAAAGGTTCAGGTCTCCTAGGGAGCCTCTCTTCCCTTTTCCTTACTGGATCTCACATAGCTACACACATCCTGCATTGCTGCACTGTCTGAACCCCTCTCAGTCTGTGTGCGTTGCCCTCCCTTTAGATGGTGAAGTATTTTTATTCCTTTACAGGGACACACAAAAAGTCACGTGTCTGAGGTCACCTAGGAAGGCTGTTATCCATCAGGGACTTGAATAAACATGAATCTAGGAGCTTTTGAAACAGCTGTCACTTCCCAGAGGGAGTATGAGAACCACCAGGACACAACCTGCTGTGGAAGCATCCCTTCAGAATTCTCCATGGTGCTTCTCAGAAAGGAACATATGACCCTGGGAGCCGCTGAAAGAGAAAAAATAGAAAGAAAAAAAAAAAAAAGCCTGAAGTCTGGGTCAATGAGAAGTCCATTCTCTCACAAATCAGAAGACTTTTCCCCCATCCTTAATCTGTTCATGCATTCAGCCCTAATGTATCTTTATGCAAAATGTGTAAAAAGTCCCTGGAGCTAGGACAGGAATTCAGTTTATCTCCTGGACATGGGGAAGCTGGATATGGCCATATTGCAGGGGAACAGGCACAGTAGGCTTGAAATTCCTCAGGGTAAGGAGGGTCTAGAACCCAGATTTCTCACCACTTGCCTTAACAGAGCTGCAACACCTGGTTGGGTTGTTGATCAATTTCATGAGATGATACCCATGGTTAGATTTTTGTTTTCCTAAGTGGAGGCTTTGGTTGGCTTTTTTTTCAGATGATCCCATTCTTTTGGTGAGAATTAGTGATCTGAATTGTTCTCTGAGGCTGAGGTAGATAGTTCTGCCTGACTCTGGCCTTAGGCAATTGAGAAAAACACCCACTGTTTCAAAGAGCTTTGTGGCTGTACTATTTCCATAGACCAGAGGCAAGTATCACTTTATTTTACAGTTGGAGGACTCATAAGTCTGACTAGATAAGTGTTTCACAAGTTGCTGTTGAGTTTGAGATGAACAGTCTGTCGTCATGACTCCAAGTCCTACTTTGGAAAAAATGGCATTTAAAAAGTAGTTCTACTCTGGTCCTCAAGATGAAAGGTCTCCACATTATCCCCTTGTGGCTTCTAATCTCAGCATTCACATCTCTTATGCAGCTTGTATAGAAAAGGCTCTTTCATGGATGCTTCTTCTCAAAGCTGATGAGAAAATAAGTGACAAAACTCTCTTTCCTTGAAACTGTTCTATTACTGACCTTTCAGTTCTTCTGTTCTTGCTCATTCCTGTGAGAGGAAATGGTTTGATAACATTTCTCTTCAGTGAGACAGATGAGCACGATTCTAATCCTCAATGTACATTTGTGCTTCCATTCTTTAGGAATGACCATGGAAATGCTTGGGACCTTGATTGGAGCTGCGCTTCAGGGGCAGATTGTGGCCAGTGCTCACGTCTCTCCCCACTGTACTGTGAATCCCTCAGTAAACACCACTGACTCCTGGCATGACACTCCCAGCATTCCAGACCCCTCAGACCCCCTGTCTCATCAAGTAAGTGTCTGTGGGAACACACTAAAATATCCTATGGAGAAGGGTGGGGAAGTTTCTCTAATACCAGATCATATCCAGCTGGATGAGCGTGAACACGACTTCCTTGGAATCAGTGATGCTGGAGCTGAGGCAGTGACCTTTCACAGACAATACTTTCCATCTTTGTTGTCCTTGCAACCCCTCCTCAGTGTGACGCCAGAATTTCTTTGAGGAGCTTTGCAGGAGGTGCCAAACCCATAAAGCAGCTGGGAGGGACATGGCCACCCTTCCTTTTCTCAAGGGGCTGATTTACAGTTTATAGAAGCCTAGTAAGAAAAGCACATTTTACCCCTACAGAAATACTCCAACCAGTTCTGGGGTCCCCAGTGCAAGAAAGACATGGACCTATTAGAGCAGAGCCAGAGGAAGGTCATAAAAATTGTCAGAAGGTTGGAGGACTTCTCCTGTGAATACAGGCTGAGAGAGTTGGATTTGTTCAGCCCGGAGGAGAGAAAATTCCAGGGAGAACTTATTGCAGTCTTTCAGTACAAAAAGTGGGGTTTTTAAGAAAGATGGAAGAAACTTTTAACCAGGGTTTTTGACAGGACAGGACAAGAAGGATTTTTTTTTTTTTTTTTTTTTTTACAATGGGGCTCAGAGCAGCCTGGTCCAGTGGAAGATGTCCTTGCCCATGGTAGAGAGTTGAAATGAGATGATCTTTGAATGTCCCACACAACCCAAAGCATTCTCAGCTTCCATGAAACAAAGGGTGGCTACAGCAGGATCTTTCAGTTCAGCACCACTGATTTCCAAAGGAGTTACCACTGGAGATCTCCTCTACACATAATGGCAATTTTGTGAACTAAATTCTAAGTCCCATTTGGAATCTGTATTTTTGTGAAGTCACACAACACTGCTGAAAGTAAATGGTTGGTAACACCCCATTAGTGGACGCAGATCTCAGTGGTTAACATGTGAAATGAACCTAGGGATCCATGCTTGTTTATTTGATTTTCCATGACAGGCTTTTCCTGTAATTTTGCACAAATAATTTAATCTCCTCGTACTTGAGTTTTATATTTTTTGAGAAACAAAGAAGGTTTTGTATCTGGGAGGAAAACCTAAAACCTGATCCAAACCTCAGTTAACACAATTTGATAGTCTTCCGTTGTTTGCAGTGGTCTTGAAACAGGCCTTGAATTAAACAATTACATTGTGTAGTGGTTTTTTTCCCCATGTCACTTGTGAAATCAGCAGATTGTTGGTTCCAATTTACCAACTGCTGGATTCATCCTTTCTTTTTATACTTTCATCTGCTGCTCTGTCAGTGCAAGTCCCAACCAGTATATAAAATATCCCATGAAGAAGATTCCTTGACCTGAATCTAATCTCAAATGCTTGATGCAAATGAGGAAGTACATATTTGTGCTCTTCCACTACTTTGCAGTGGAGTATCTCCTATTATCATGCTTCAGCAGCAGTAAAACCACAAGCTAAGGTATGTTTTTATCTATCTTTTGGATTTGCATACTCAGGCATCAGCGCTGGTGGTCCAGGAAGGGATAAAAACCTTGTCTCCCCCCATTCTCAGACACTATTCTTTGCCTCTGTGCCACTTGATCCTTGTTTTTTTTGGCACAAGCTTCTCATAAAGCTGATCTGGGCAACAGCCTGAGGACAGCTGGGCTGCTTCTCTAAGTGGCCATGCCATTTTGTGGCTGAATAGCGTGTTTTTGAAGATGTTTGTTTGGTAACATGTAGTGTGTGATTTAATGAGACACAGAACATCATCCTGCCTTCCTTTTTAGCTCCTGGGACAATGGTTTGGTGTAGAACACTTCTGTGTTTATTACACCTCTGTGAATTGTCAAGATGAGTACTTTGAAAAGTCATGGAGCAAGCTGAATTTCATTGCACAGCTGTTTCCCGGTCTGAACCTGCTTCAGACTAAAATCCCCAATTTCTATTTTGAAACCTCTGAAATGGCTTTCAAGGGGAAAAAACTACACAATCTTGATTTATTTCCTTAATGTTTAACCATATGTGCTTTCCTGTCCTTTTTGAGGTAGGAGGGAGATGGAGAAAGAAACTCACAACGGGTTGAAAGTAGTTTTTTATTTTGAAAAACTTGCAAAAATCCATAGTCTAAAGTAGCCAGACTTTGTAGGTAGAGGCATTATCTTTAATTAAACTAGATACTAAGACTGGGAAATGATGGGAAAGCTGTTAGACACAAACATTTTTCAGATCTGAAGAAGAAGTTACAGTGTGACTGGAAACCTGCCCTTTCTTCACTCCACACACAGCAGAATATGCACCTAATTAATTGCAAAATAAAGAGGAGATCTTGAATTGGATCTTGATGGATCTTGAATTTTGGTTGTATGGCTGATGGACATTAAGTTACAAGTAGAGGCAAGACTAGATTAATTGAACGTGAAGTACCTCCATCAGGAAATATTTAGAAGAGGGCAAATCTTGACTTTCTTTTAGTGCCCTTCAGGAGTATGAGCCTGACTCTTTTTTGTCACAAGGACTAATTCTTAGCTGCTCAAGAGCACAGGTTTTCAAAAGCACTTAGTGAACAACTGGTATTATTTTGCTTCTTATTGAAAAAAAAGAAGTGGAAGAAATGGTAATTTTAAAGATCTCCTGAAGTTCTTACTATAAGCTTATGAATGGATCTTTATTACTGGAAACCAAACATGGATCTTGATAGAGTTGTAGATGGGCTACTGAGTTTTGCTCAGGGTTAGAGAATCTTATTTGACCTACCATGAGTATCCTTGGTGGTTTAAGCTCAAATTACATTTAATGATGGCCTATGAAACACAACATTTAATTCAAATACTTCAAACAAATTAATAAATACATTAAAAAAATATAAAATTCATAAAGGAGTCCTGTTACTATCCTTTTTTTTTTCATCACTTTCTCTCCTGGCTCAGCTACATTTCAGGCTGAAATTGCCTTGTTTAAGTGAATTCAGATATCTCTACTACAGCACTCTGAGTCCAGTGCAAGCCATAGCCAACAGTGTGAAAGTACTCTGTGACTTAATTTATAGCTCTGATATTAAAAAATCCCAAACATTTATCTGATATAAAGAATAGTCCGACATTCCTTTATCTCACCATATTATTTTCTGAAATGTAAACAACTTAACAAAAGCTGTTTCTTGAAAATTTTCTATTCTTACATGGTTCATCTGAATGCATTTGCACTGATATTAATTGTCTTTATATTTTGAAGCACATTCTTGTAATTTAATTTTTTTACCAGCACTTCTTAGACTTATAATAGTTTCATCTACAATATATAACCAATTAATTTGGAATTCAGTTTTCCTATCAAGTAATCATTGTTTCATAAAGCTCTATAAGTTATCTTTGATAACACAGTATAAGGTAAATTATTATATCATAGTATATAAAAATATTTTTTAAAGCTTTAATCCAAATCAGAGTCAGAAACAGTAAATGTGATCTGGTGGTGTGGGAATCCTTGGAGGGTTTGCTCCCCTGGCTAAAAGAAAACTAAGGCTTCTGAATTTGTTTGGATATTTCACTAAATAACTGGGAAAACCAGCATGCAAGGTACCATATTCTCAAAACATTGGTATGTAAGTATGATTTCTAAAATTAATTATTATCATCATGTGCCATTATTATAATTATGTATAAATGCAGAAACTGTAGTAACTATGTTTACATTAGTACTGAGAACTCTCCCATACACCATGAAATTCCAGATTGCAGTCTGTGTAGCCAGATCAACTGGATTTACTGAAAATTAGAATGTCTCTGTGGATGATGCATGGTTTTGATTAGGTGACTGTGTATGTCTGTAGTTAGTCTCAACATAAGCAAATTTTTAAAACATTCAGGTTGCCAACACAGTAACTCTTTTGTTCACTGCTTCTTTTTTTTTTTTTTTTTTCCTTCAAGAAGTATATACTTATATGACCTGAATTTATCCTAAGGCAGGTGTGGTTTATAAATGAATTGCAGAAGGGAATATTTTTCAGAGAGGTAGCAGATGCATTTGTCTGTATGCAGATGGGCATTTCTTCATTTGCAGGTGGCTTACCAAAAAGGGACTGAAATTTTCATAATGACTTGCTGTTCTGTCAAAATTTCAAATGTTTTTTTTTTTCCTTTTGAAAGGCAAAAGTTTACATGATTGCAGCAGGGGTCATAGCAGGTGTGTATCTTCTTGGAATCATCGTTCTTTTTCTTGGAGTAAAGGAAAGGGATGGTAAGTTGTATTTAAATATGCCTCGATTTAATAATAGTTATTTCACATTCCTTTATTCAAAAGATTTTTATTTTATATATTCTGCTTCTCTTAGATCCTTATGCCTTAAATTCCGACAGAGCAATTCCTTTTTGTAAGGGGCTTGCACTCACCATGAAGCATGGTCCATATGTGAAGCTTACAGCTTCGTTTCTTCTCATCTCAACAGCAGTTCAGGTAACTTCAGACCCTCTCAGTCTGTGTGTTGGCCTCATTCCACTCCCAGCATGGGAGAGTCTGAAATGCAAATAACCTTTGGCTGGTGACTGGAGGGGTGATCTAGGGGGTGTTGCCTTCCCCTGTAAATCAGTAGGGAACCAGAGTCCTCTTTTGGTGCCTGGGGTCCTGTGTGGCTGGAGATGGTTCTTACAAAGAAGAAGCATAGCCAAAGTCCTGACCATTTAAAGACTTTTTTCTTTTCTGTTCTTTTATTGTTTTTTTTTCCCATAAAAGGTGAAGAACTAGTCCTAGTGACCCAACTGGGTCATTCTGTGTTATCCATCCACAGTCTCCTGTGGTTTCAGTTGCTTAGAGAATGCTTTTTCTCTTCTGTCTGTTCCTCTCTCTGTGTGCCCTGTTTAAACTGTTGCCCCTCTCCTTTGCGTAGGCGACTGCTCTCAGATAGTGGCTGAACTGGGTCTTGTGGAGTTTTTTGTGATGGAAGGCATTAGGTCAGAGTAAGAAGACATTCAGAGGCAGGAGGCCTCACCTGTGTTAGAGTTAGGTAGAGCTCATTTTGAAATGAGGACCTGAAATTGGATGTGGCTCTCACGAAAAGATGCGGTGCTCCTCCCACAGAGAGGAGCTGTAGAAAAGCCACTCAGTAAGAAACCCTCACTGCCCGTAAGTACAGCAGGCTTTTAAGCCTGACTTTTAGGACATGTTAAATTCAGTAAATGTATTATTTTAATCTGAACTTGTACATATCAGTTGAAGTTTGCTTTATTTTGAAAAGCAAATAATTATCACATTTTTGCCAAGAGACTCTTAATCACGTGAACCATTGATCAAGGGAGTATCAGGACAGAAGGCAAGAATATGACATGTAAGAGAGCAGTTCTGTGCTCACCAGGAGTCTTGGTGAATTATTAAGTTCCTTGGAAGGACTACTTAAAAGTTTGTTTGCCAAAGAAGCACTGAATTTTTTTGTTGGCCTGAATTTGGGCACAGCATCTGCTAGTCCTTACTGGAATACCCAAGGGTGAGATACAATAACAGAAGTTATTTCTGCTCGTGTCTGGGATCTGCAAGTACTGTGGGCAACTGCAGAGACAGGGAGAAGATGAAAGATGAAAGGTCTCTTATTGTCCACATCCTTCCAGCATCATTCAGTCAGCAGGGATACAGAGCACATCTGGTTGCTGGCAGCCAACTACTTGCTGACAGCACCCAGAGAGGAAAAGATCAGCTCAGTCCATATCTCTCTGTTCTGCTGTTTGTGCAGACTGAAGGGAAGGTGTGAGGGGAGGCAGAAGCTGGAAGCTCTGTTACTGCAGTTGAGCCAGCATGAGCAACCCTTGCTGCTGTTATTTGAGGGACAGACACTGATTTTGTGGAATTTAGAGAGTGGATCACTCACTGCTCAGCAAAAGGAATGGGCAGGTAAAGATGCATCAGCTGTAATTCCAGAGTGTGATATCCTATGTCTAAAATTAGGGCAGCATAAACAGGGACACAGCCAGGGAAGGGTTTTGTAACAATAGAGACAGGATACAACTTTTTGGATATCCTAATTTGTACACAGGTGATTGGCCACCTATAATAGAAAATCACAAAAAGGAGCAAGAATTGATCCATGCTGCTGTGGCATGAGTATTAAATCCTCCTCTGTCACTCTGCTTCTGCAGAATTGCTGGAGCGGGACCTCCATCATATTCTGGTGTTCAGAATCCCCCTGAGTTCTGCAGGAGCATGATGGTGGCAGTGGCCTCACCTGTCATATAACACAGTGCAGTTGGATCCTCCCATCTGATGAGGATTCAGATGTAAGGAGATATCTGACCCAAAGCTACACTCTATAGCTGAGGGTGCATACAAAACCAGCTGCTTTACTGCAGGAAGTTGGCAGGAGTGTTATTACAGCTGAAACATTACTTGTTTTGGAGTCAGAGCTTCTGCGGAAAGATTTATGGCCTTGCTGGGGAAGAGAAAGGGCAGTTTCTTGCAGTAGCCTGCAGCTGAGACAACACAAGGCAATTGAGACATAGGGAATAAAGTCTTGAGACAGAATCCTTTTATAGGGCCATTTCTGTTTTGGTCAATTTTATGCTCTGTTAGGTGTGGCTTACCTGTTGCTTGTCCCAGTATTACTGGCATGTTATTCCAATGATAATGGGACAGTTATTGCTTCTTTTTGTTGCAAACAAGGGAAGAATGAGACTCCCAAACCCTACATTTAACAAATCAGTCACCGACTATATTTAAATAATATGGAGTATAATGCAATTTTTGTATTTTTAAAATTTTCCATTGTCGTTTGGTGATCACCAAATGTCTTAAATTCCACAGCTGGAGCAAGGAAACTTTGTCCTGTTCTGCACTCATGCTGCTGGCCTGCGCAATCACTTCCAGTATTTGGTGGTGACCATCTTGGTGAGTTGCACTTCTCTCCCAAATATTACCTGGTTCTTGCTGGGCTTTGGCACAAAATTACAGAATACAGGAAGAGTTTTGTGTCTCAGCAAAGCTGTTAGGAAGCTACACTATCTTTTGCATTGTCTGTTTGAAATAAAGCTGGTGTTCCCTACTGCAGTTCTAAAAAATAGTGGTTTGGAGCTTTTAATTAATTCCTTGTTGTTTTTACCTGTAAGCCGCAGCTTCTATAAAAGGAAGAAGCTGCTTCTAGAAAGGAGGTCTGGAATTTTACCTCCTTTGTCCCTTTCCCCAGTCTTATGTGCTTAAAATTAAAAAACTTCAATTTGCATATTCATACACACAACTCCTCTGGGCTAGGCAGCTTGCTAGGATAAATATTTTAAATACCCAGAAATATGAAGATTCCTCTCTAAAGCAATTGGCAGTGTGATAAAAAGATCATTTTAGAGAATTTTTTTCTTAACATGAGGAGGTAGAAGTCTGCTTGCTTAGGTGTTACTTACCCTTTCCCACATTATAAGACATACCTTTTCCAAAACCATTAAAACCAAGATGTTGGAGAGCAAAAGAGGAGTGCTGGGTATCTTAAGGCTCTGCAAGTGATGGTCACCAAGAAGAGAGACAAGAAACAGCAGAGGTAAAGTGAGTAAAGACCAAAATATAACTAACAATTAGATGACATATAAATAAAGGTCAAGTGTGAGGCTGCCATTAGTAGCAATTCTTCAGTGCATAGGTAGTACATTGCTTGTGGATGTTGCTGCCATGGGTGAGTAGTTCGGTGTCTGAAACAGTAATGTCGACTGCAAGCAACTATTTCTCTTACAGATTGCTCCTAAGAAGGGACATGCAGAATGGAATGTACTCTTAAGTATATCTTAGGCTAGGTTTATCTTGCACTTCAGCTTTCTTCCTGTATCATAGGGTAGAGCTAAATTCATTCATCATTTGTCAGGTTCAGGCAGTGTGGCAAAAGGAATTAGCACAAAGTGTGGCTGTTTCCAGTATGTTTGAACTTTAATGACTGAGCACAGCCTTGACTGCTATGGCTCGCATTAGAAAAAGAAATTTTAAGACACCGTCTTCTAAGATTTGACTGTGGAAAATCCTCTGTGGATAGCTTAACAATGAATTTTAGAAGGTCACTCAAAAGATGGGAAGAAACAAGAATCTGCATGTTCACCTTCCTTTCAGGCTTTTATGTACTAGACGAAAAGATGTCTGTGAGCTCTACAGCTGAAGAAGACAGTGGAAGTAAGCACAGTACAGATACAGGTTTTTGTCCCTTGTAGGTGTCAGCAGCCGTGAGTGTTCCCTTCTGGCAGAAGTTTCTGCAGAGATTTGGCAAGAAGTGTGCAGCATGTGGGATTTCGGTAAGCAAATCCTCTGAGAAAAAAAATATTCTTGTGCTCATTTTGTTTGACAATGAGCCACTTCAGGAGCTCTTTCAAGTGCTTATAACATCAATCTATGTGAAATTTGCTCTGTTCCAGAGTTTGTTTTAAATCATTATACCAAATTTCGGACAGATTCCAAGTTTCCAAGGGAAACTTTTGAGAAATGGATTGATGCTGGAGGGACGTCCCAGTTTATTTAAGAATCTGCACAAGCTCTCCTCATTTGAAGCTCTCATAACTGAGCTTCAATGAGGTTTTATAAATTCAGATCTAAGTTGCCTCATGTTGACAAGTTACATGTTGTGCAAGGCTTGTTTTGTCTTTGTTATATGGTGCTGAGGTGTCTGTAATTCAGTCTCACAGAAGGAAACAAAAGTCTGTTAGACACCCCCTGTAGGAGCATCCACATCCCTCTGAATAGGGAGGGACAGTTATTAGTGAAGTAAAGAAAAAGGTGACCTACCTGAGAAAAGAAGCCTAGTTCAACTCTGACACAGCTTTGCAAAGCCAGCTCAGTGAGCCTGCCCTTGTCACTGGTGGATTATTTTAAGTCCCTTACTTAGTGCAGACAGCAGCAATTTTCTATCATCATCCTTGGTGAGTTATTGTATAGGCCTGTTCCTCCATTTCCCCCTGTTTACATTCAATTACTTATGAAAGAGGAAAGAAATTGCCTTGTGCACAAAAAAGCAGGAGGACTTGAAAAATCCAGCCCAAAGCTATATGTCAAAATTTGAACAAAGCTGAAAAATTTATGTCTGGTGACAAAGTTGAAGAGTTATAATTTTTGGAATTAAAAGCTGTGTTGTAATGACTTCCAGAGAATGAGAAGTAACTTTAAAACCAAGTTCCAAATTTGCTGAATTGTTATGTGTTTTGAAGTATCTGGAATTCAAGCCTCATCCTTATTTCTTTTTACCACTTGAGCGAAGATAATTGCCAAAAGCAGTGTTGGCCCATTGACTAGACCTGGGAATGCAGATTTCCTCCTTAGGAAATCTCCTCCTCTGTCTACTTGGCCACAAAAAATGCCTTCTTCAACCAACTTGGCTCTATAAATTTAGTTTTACATGACTGGAAAACCTGTCAGCACCTCTGTAAACATGGTTTAACTTGATTTTACAGTTGAGTTGCTTGACTGTTATGGTCTAAGTGGGGGATGGATTGAAAAAAAGCCACCTCTCTGCTTCATCTTGTAGACATTTCTCAGGGGACTCAGTGTGTGCTCAGTGACGGATTTTGTGTCTGACAATGCTTTCACAGGAGCTTTCTACCCTACCACCTTGTGTGATCTGTACAGCTAATCTGTACTCTCCCACAACGAAATAAAAGCACATAATTTTAAGACTCCTAAGTTTGTCACTGGGGAATGTTCTACTGAAAGGGAAGGAGACAGGGAAGAACATGAGTTCTTTTTTTCCTCTAAATCCACACTCAGCTTTCAGGGTGAACGTGTGATTGGAAATGCAGTTTCCTGAAAAAAAAAAAAGTCACAGTGCTCCTGACTAATTTTGACTGTTAAGGTGAGACTATGTTGGAGAGAGCCCTCAAAAAGTTTAGAATCTGGTAGATAAGCAACAAGAATCTTGAGTTTCTTCCATTGATATTTCTCCCTTTTTACCCATTCCCCCAAAAGAGATAACCAACAAGTCAAACTACTGATTAAGTATCTCAAGTTCCGAGAAGTTTAAAGCCTAGAATTTTGGTATTTATCAGGAATTATCCTGCTCCCAAGCAGGATCCTTGATAGCATTCTTCCTGCAACCAGGTTGGTGCAAAAGCTAGAAATTTTTCTCTTCTGTTTATTTCCTTCAGCTTCCACGTGCTCTGTTCATTAGGTGTCTACTCTGCCCTCACGGGGCAAACACTGAACTTACACTCAGAAAGTCTCAGCTGGTGACTGGAATTGAAGTTGTCACGAGAAGTTTAAAGAAGTGTGGCATCTTCTTGATTCATAGTTTTGGCAAGGTGTCTAAAAACAAAGACAGCTCTCTCCCACAATTCTAGCTTTCATCCTAGCCAATAATATCTTTTGGCTGTGGGTTTTGCAGGATTTAGTAAAAATAAGAGCACCTCCTCACAGATATACAATGATTTATTTGGTGTCTATGAGCACTGTGCAGCATGGAGAGATGCCTTTGGATGAGTCCTGGCTCTGCAGCCCCATTTCCACTCTCCCATCCTGTTTCCACTCACATCCTCCCTGCACCTTTTCCTGATTTTCCCTTCATAGTGTGCTGCTGCAGAGACCAGTATCACCTTCAGCATCCCGGCAGAGTCACCTTGCATGGCGCTGTCAGGGCATGGATGGAAGGCACGGGATAACTGCAGGATGTTGTTTATAACTCAGAGGGCAGCAGCCCTGGGACAAGGGAGCAGATGCCAATAACAGAGTATTTGCTGTACAATTAAGAAAGAAGGAGCTGCATTAGCTGTTTATTGCAGTGGGAGCACTGCCCCCATGACTGTGCTGCCACTGCATGAGTGAGACTTTAGGGCATTGTAACCTCAGTCCTACTGGCCCTGCTTCTCTTTCTCTAGGAAATTACAGTTACAATGATTATTATTATCGATCTAGAATTTTGTTTAAGTGCTTTGGTTTCTGAGTGGGTGCCCCATGTGGAGCATAAGGCAGTCATAAAATTGCTTATAGACAACATAAAATCTGATATTGCTGGAGTGCTCTCTTGTGGTGAAATAACGATTTTGACACAACACTGGGCTAATGCAAGGATTATCTGCCTGTGCTGGTAACTTGCAGTCAGGAAAGGTTATTTTCTGCCTCCTTAGCTTGGGAGCAAATGCTTTAGATGGGAAATGCATTTAAAACATAAACATAATGGATTAGACTCCAGGACTCCCAGAATCACTTATCATTCAGAACTGTAAATAGCAGCGCTTAGGGGAATCACTCTCTGTGAAAGCTCTTCTCATGCCCTCAGCTCCCAAGCTGCACGTATAGAGGATTGAAACACTTAATGTTAAACTAATCCCCATCATTAAAAAGCCCTGTGGATAAGCCCCTGGTTCTGGATTCTACATGTGCTGCTGTGCCTGTGGTTCACAGGCACGGGAGATGGAGCATGTGACGGGTATAGGACAGCTGGGCAGCAGGCATTCAATCAGCATTTTAAAAAGTGGCTTTTCAGTCCTGTAAGCCCATTGCTTCAAGTTGAAGTTGAAAAGATCTAGTGGCTATAACTACTGCCAGAAAACAAATCCCAAGCATCCCAAATTAATTTGGTTTTGAGGCTAACCTCTGTGGCTTGTCATGCAATCTCGTGAGTGGATCTGGGTGTGGGGAGTGGAGCAAACCACTCTGACTTCTGGGTTTAGTTATTGCTGAGTATGTATATGGCTTTAAAGTGGTGTTTGGAAATTAAAGCAAATTCTTCCTCATCAAGACTGAAGATGATCTGTGAAATTGTATATTTACAGTTTAAAATGACCACTGAAGCCCTGCCACTCCCCTTGAAATGCAGTGTAAGAATGTTTTAAGGGATTGTCTCTAATAGTAAATTAAATAGCTCCACTGGCCTAGAATAGAAATGGACATTGGTCATCTCTGTTATTTAACTGGCAGAAAAATCTTCACCCAAGCTGATTAGCAATCTCCTGGGAATTACCAGTGTTCATGGATAAGGGAAGAGCAACTGACAGTGTCTAGCTGGACATGTGCAAAGCATTTGACACAGTCCTGAATGTCTTTGTCTGTAAACTGGAGGGGCATGGATTAGGTGGATGGACGACTCATGGATAAGGAATTGGCTGGATGGTGGCACCCAAAGAGCTGTGGTCAATGGCTCAATGTCCAAGTGGGGGCCAGTGAGGAGTGTCATCCCCAGAGGTCTGTACTGGGACCGGTGCTGTTCAACGTCCTTGTCAGGGACATGGAGAGAGGGACTGAGGCACCCTCAGCAGGTTTGCAGGTGGCACTGAGCTGTGTGGTGCAGGTGACACGCTGGAGAGAAGGGATGCCATCCTGAGGGGCCGGGACAGGCTTGAGGGGGGGAATGTGGGAACCTCCTGAAGTTCAGCAAGGCCAAGCACAAGATCCTGCACCTGGGTCAGGGCAATCCTAAGCACAGAAACAGTCTGAGCAGTGAATGGATTGAGAGCAGCCCTGAGAGGAAAGAAATGGGAAGAGCTTAGAGCCCCTTCCAGTGCCTAAAGCAGCTTCAAGAGAGCTGGAGAGGGGCTTCCTACAGGGTCATGGAGTGATAGGACAAAGAGGAATGGCTTTAACCTGACAGATAGGTAGATTAAGATTGGATACTAGGCCCTGGCACAGGTTGTCCAGAGAAGATGCGGGTGCCCCATTCCTGGAAGTGTTCAAGGCCAGGGCTTGAACATTTGGATGGAGCTTGGAGCAGCCTGGTCTAGTGGAAGGTGTCCCTACCCATGGCAGGGGGACTGGAATGAGATAATCTTTAAAGGTTCCATCCAAACCAAACCATTCTATTATTCTGTCTAGCATAGTTTGGGAATAAACCACTTTAGGGCTCTTCACAAAAACTATTTATATGGCCATAGGTTTTTTGGAGACCATGAATGTTTAGGACTATGAATGTGGCCAGGGTCTGTGAGTTGGCTTCAAGACTGGTAAATAGGCTCTTGGGTCTGTTTAATTTACGAGTTCAATTGTAGCCCTAATACTGCTAACAGAGACAACACTACTATCACTTGTCCTACTTTTCTCCAATTATTCTGGGTAGTTAAGTACAGATTGGCTCTGGGCTTTTTGGAAATGCAATATGATCAAAATACTGTCGTGTGAGACATTGCTGTGTGTGAACTGTTCTGTACATAGTTTTGTATGTTGAAGGGAACAATCTGTATAGCATTGAGCAGTGCATGCTGCAACTCAGATATAATGCTTTTCTTCTTCAGTGGATGATTCCTTTTGCAGTCATGCTAGTGACCATTCCAAACCTGATCCTGGCTTACTTTGTGGCCTTCGTCTCTGGTCTGAGCATTGCAGCATCTCTTCTGTTGCCATGGTAGGAGAATTTTACATTTGAGGTGGGGAATGGATGTATTTTTGCATTACATGTATGTACTACTGCATGGAATTTGCCTCTGAAAAATGCAGAATATGGCAAGAGTCACTTCTTCTAAGAATCTTTTTTTTGTTGTTTTATAGTTGATGCTATATGCAGTGATATGAGCTTTGTTGTTAAGAGACTACATCCACCATAACTGTAGCTGCTTTTTTACACAAAAGTATATAATCAATAATCTAAGTAGCTATGCAAAGTGCGATAACATTGCTTCAGGAGTTATGAAGTTAGGCAAATCAATTAATGCTGAGCAATTAAGAATACAGCAGAGGACACATTAGGCAAACTATGTCTAACCTTACTTTTTATAAGGGCATGTAGTTATAGAACAAGGGGCAATGGCTTTAAACTGAAAGATGATAGATTTAGATTAGGTTTTAGAAATAATTTCTTTACTGTGAGGGTGGTGAGGCCCTGGCACAGGTTGCCCAGAGAAACTTTGGATGCCCCATCCCTGGAAGTGTTCAAGGCCAGGCTGGATGAGGCTTGGAGCAACCTGGGGTAGTGGAAAGTTTCCCTGCCCATGGCAGGGGGCTGGAATGAAATGATCTTTAAAGTCCCTTCCAACCCAAGCCATTCCACGATTCTGTGTATCCCTGCTTGAGTAGTCCTCTGTTTTAGACCAAATACACGAGGTTATGATTGTAAGAAGCCAAGAATTCAAGGTCTTTTGCACTTGAGGACTGAAAATAAGTGGGGAAAAACAACTTATGGATGAGCATGGCAGGGTATTTCCTCTTCAGATTAAATAACTGTAATTGAGATCACATTAACCAGAAAGAAAGACCATTGCTGAGAGCACTGTTTTTCATAAATTGTTTGTACAATGCCCTGAAAACTCCAGGACATCATGGAATACATAGTTTGAAATTAGTTGTCTGACTATGTAAGCTTTTCTGCACGGAGGGTGAGAAGACCTTTCTTTTTCCAACAGTAAATTATTACATATATTGGAAATAAAATGTCAATTCACAATTAACATTCAAGCAGCTTCCATTCTAATTCCCCATTTTCTAATCCTGTCTCTTTGAAATAGAGAGAATAGATTTCATTGGTTTCTGAAAATGTTGTTACCTTGTCAAAAGAGTTATTTCAGAATGCAACTGTTCAGACATTCAGAATTCCTTGAAATCTTAAGAAACATCCGGGGGTGGGGGGGGTGGGGGTGGGTTGTTTATTGTTCTTTTTTAATATCACAACTTATGATTGGAATGACAGGCAGACTAGGAATTCTGTCACCTCTCAAGTGTTTGATGGCTTTTCAGTAATTTTCCACATTGTAATATCTGTCCATGCTTTTCTTACACATTTTTTGCCCTCCTTTCCAGGAGTAGAACTTTTTGAACTGGATTCTTTCATATGCATGGCTACATCAATAAACTTAAAAATGGAGGAGGGCTGTGCTGTATTTCATTAAGTCTGGATGTTGAAAAGAAATTTTGGCTTGAGTTTTTCTTTTATCTTGCTCACTTCTAGGTCAATGCTGCCTGATGTTGTTGATAACTTTCGCCTGCAGAATCCCCATGGGAAAGGACATGAAACCATTTTCTATTCTTCTTATGTTTTTTTTACCAAGATGTCAGCAGGAATTGGCTTAGGAATTTCTGCAGCAGGACTGGAGTAAGTAACGCTGTGTTTCCACTTAGTGGATCTACTCTGAAAGCATTCTGAGGTTACAACACTTTTACCCTGCGGAGTTAATTGCATTCATGCCCTGAGCCTGAAAGTGCCAGCAGCTCCAGATGGCTGACCACTAAAGACAGGATTGGTGCCATCTAGGCCAGACAACTGAGCATTAAGTTACTTGCCCTGACATGGTTCTGTTCAGAAAAACCTGACTTCCCTTCAGATTTTCCTCTTTTCAATCACTCATGTAAATTTTGGTGGTTTGTATGAATCAAGAACTAAACATGAAAGTGCAGGAGATGAAGGTCCAAAGCACAGGTGATACAGGTGCTTTGTGCATTCCCTGGTGTACCTGAACTGGACTATCTCTAGGAGATTGTAAGACTTTACATGGACTGGAGTGCTTCCAGGGGACCCAGAGGCCTGTTCAGCATGAAAGGATCACCAATTCCTGCATGATTTTAGGGAACTGGACACTGATCAGAGTCAGGAACAGCCTTTCTCACAGCACTGCCTGTCACGTAGACCATGCCACTTTAGGAGAGGGTTTGTGGTCTCTTTCCACTTGGTCTTGTCTGTTCTGACCAGACAGGTTGAATAAGTGGCCAGGAATCTCCTGCCCTGCCTTTGTGCAAGATCTGGCAGAAAGGGCCTGTGCCTGTCCCTGCTACAGCGCACAGTAAATGCTTAGAAGGGAAATCCAGCCCTCGACTCCAGATTAGGTTTTGGTAACCAGAATGTTTGGCTTTGGGGCCTTGAGCTGAAATTGCTAAATAACAGGCAATGATTGGCTGAACATTTTGGGCTTAGGAATTTTAACTGCTTATTGCCAAAACCCTCAAACAATTTGCTGTTCCCCAATTAGTCCCTTTTCAATTGCATTCCAGTTGGGTCCCAGCAATTTGCCAAGGCAGATGTTTGTGGGATAACACAGAAGACAGAGTGATGCAAAATGAGCTTTCATTAGGTGGATGTTCAGAAGAAAAACTCATTCCACAAATTTGGAGTAGGAATTTGAGTATATCAGCAGTTGTGGGACTGAATAGAAGTCCTGAATCAATGAAGTGTACCTAACTCTGAGCACTTGAGTAAATTTGTCTATCTTGAGATGAGTGCTTAAGTGTATGTTTAAATTAAATTTAATTATTGCTGTTGAAATTGGTGAAATTACTTCCATGCTTTTAAAGCAGAGCTTGAATACTTTGCTGAATATTAATAGGAAACACATAACAGATTAATTTCACAGAACCACAAAATCACAGAATTGGTAGGGCTGGAAGTGGCTCATCTGCTTCCAACTTTCCTTGCTCAAACAGGTTCATCCCAGAGCACAGGGCACAGGATTGTGTCCAGACAGTTCTGGAATATCTCCAGTGAGGGAGACTCCACAATCCATTCAGGGCTCAGTCACTGCACCTCTGCCTCATGTTCAGGTGAAACTTGCTGGACATCAGTTTATTTCCTTACATGGCATTCCACAATAATTTCTTTAGGAGTATGCAAGAAATTTGATAAATTTCAACAATAATAATTAACTTAAATGTTATACATAATAGTAAGAAAATACAGAGATAATGCAGTTATCTGAAGTTGAGCACAAAAATGAGGTTTGAAAAACACAATTGGAAATGCATTGGGGAAAAGGAAAAAAGAGAGGTGTAGGGAAAATGGGAGAAAAGTCTTGAAGAGTGGGAGGGGTAGGGAGAAGGAAGCCTTCAGGTAAACAACAGCCTTTTAGCTCTGGACATGCACACACCACTTGTTTCAATTTGTTTAGGTTTACTGGGTACAAGCCAGGGATATGCAGACAGTCAGATGATGTGATCCTCACACTGAAACTCCTCATTGGAGCAGTTCCTGCCATCCTCATCCTTTTAGGTTTGTTTATACTCCTTTTCTACCCCATCACTGAAGAAAGTCGGAAAGAAACAAAGCTTGCCCTTGAAGAGTTAAGGTAAGATTGGACTGGCAGTAAAAGAGCAGCAACCCCCCTACAGCAGCTCTTAATCACACTGGGAAAATTATTATTGTAAGGAATCCCTATATTCCTTACAACAAAATAAAACAATGTGCTCTTAGTCAAATTATTAACAGAATGGTACCAGGACATGTTCCAGTATCACTTTTTTGTTGTGCAGTGCAACCTGCTTAGAGGACCATTTATCAGAAATTTCAGCTGCTCTATTTACATTTTCTCTAGAGTGTTTCACAAAGCACTATTGTGGTACATATTTTCAGGCCAGAAATGAGGAATATTCTACATAGATTAAATTTGTGGGGATCATGTGAATAACTACAATTTACTTCTATATAGAAGAAAATGGTATGTTGTTGACTGCATTCTTGGTGTTTATGGGATACAAGAAACATCCAAATAATTTAGAAGGGTAGGCAGAAAAGATTGTGGGAGAATAAAGAAGTCAGCTTTGAGCTATTATTTCCCTTTTTACTCTGTCACTCTCCCTTCCTCCCTTTTTCTCCTTCTCCAAGGAAAATCTTGTCTAGCTCAAATTCCTCCAACTCTGTCAGCTCTTGAGGACATACATAAGGACAGTCCTAGCAGATTGATGGATAAAATTAAAAAAAAAATAGATTATTTCTTTGTCTTGATTTTATTATCCCAATTTACTGGACTTGGAAACTGATCTCCATGCTAAGAGGTCAATTCCAGGACCTAAGCAAGGGTGCCTGGGACCAATTCATGCCCTAAAATATCCCAAGATATGTGCATGGGGTTGGCAGATATGACAAAGGCCTCTGTGCAGGCTGGAGGGGACAGTGGGACTGGTCCTCTCTGTTCAGGAGCTTCAGTCATTGTCCTGAACAACCACACCTTGCTAGAGGTTCTCAGCTGATTGAGATTGCCAAACTCAGTTTGAGGAGTCAGCAGTGAAAGCCAGAAGTGTGTTCATGTATCATTTGTTCTGCTTTTACCAGGAGGAGCCATCAAAGCACAGAGAACTTGGACAGCCACAAAAAGGACACTTCTGTCTGAAAGCTCTGAATGCAGTGGCTTCCCAAATACAGACTCACACCCCACCAACAAACTCTGGGAGCGTTTTCTAGGCCATTTCTCTGCTCACATTTTATCACAAAGGACAAAGGATGATTCTGACATAGCCAGTAATGAAATCAAGAGAGGACACCATTGTGCAAATATACACCTAACTCCATGCACTGTGCTAGGAAAGGCATTACACACATTCAGAAATGCAAGCTCTTGAAGGCTTGGGGTTTGTTTGTTTGTTTGTTTGTTTTTTTCAGTGTTTAATGGGAAACTGTGATCTTGTTAATGGGAGATTTTATGCATTTGTAACTTAAGGGGAAAAAAAAGTGTAAATGTGACCAGAGAATTTTTAGGGTTCTGAATTGGAAAATACTCACAAGGATCATTGAGTGAAATTAATGATGCACCTTCCAAATATTAACTCACAATATACTTCACCCTTGGGGGCTGGGGTGGATTTTGAGCACAATCTCTACCTATCATTTGCACACTATTGTGTTTGGAAAGCACTTGGGAGCCTGAAGTATACTATATGAAGTTAGGATTTCTTTTCTTTTGAAATTGAGAAAATCACTCATGCAGACATATTTTGAGGATTTTTGTTTTCATTTTTTTTGAGAGATTTTGAGGTAATCTATGTTTATGGATTCTATAAGAAATAGAACCCTGCATTTCCCATTACTGATTTTTCTTTCTTCTGAAACCTGTAAGCTGATTTCTGTCAGAGAAGGAGAACTTCACATTTTCAAAATCAACATCTCCCCTGAGGATAAGAAAAATCAGTAGTCCCTTCCAAAAGGGAAAGAAATTCAAATTTGAATTTGAAAAAAAATCAAATTTCTTTAAATTCTGGCCTTTAAGTAACCACCATACCCATTTCTCACATGGTATAGGCCCTCTGCCTCACAAAACACCATGGCATGGATATTAATCTAAGCTTGCACCTATTTTGTAATAATGAGGCTACACCAGTCTTTTAAATGGTGATTTTTTTTTTCTGTCAGGGATTTTATAATGCTTTAGATACATCAATTCATTTCTACTATAGATTTATACTGTTGAGCACACTTTTAAAATGGAAGACACACCTAATCTCAGGCACCTTCTGGAGCACTGAAGTTCGGACCTGTTCATTCTTGGCTTCTGTGGTCAGTGCAGGTTCCAGAGACTGGCTCCAAGCCTAAGCTGAAATGGTGGGACTCTGAAGACATATCTAAATCTGGAAGGGAGAGTGAATAATTCAAGAGGTGTGTTCACCTTGAAGAAATTAGCACAATGCAAGACAAGACATGAATTTCATCCCACTGCCTTCACTGTGTGACTGAGTGCCTTTTTGCTGTACCAGAAGTGCCTTTGGAGGACAGGCTTGCTGCTGTTTGGGAGCACCTGGAAGAAGTTGCCATCTGTAATTTGCTCGGGGCCATCTGGGAAGTGCCTCGCAGTGCTGGACTGGAAAACTGAGAAATATTTTGCTGAAGGACACTGGGATGTAAAATCAGTGCAACAACAGAGTGTCTCATTAAGTTTGATACTGAAACCTTGTCAGGCAAGTTTGAAGAGAAAAGCCTTATGAACTGTCCTCAAAATGCTTAATTATGAGGGAGCTACTAAGGGTATATTTTGAGTGTGTGTGGATAAGAGTTAACTTCATTTAAGATTTCTATTTACTTGCCGTCTAAGGCTGGGGTTTTTTGTTTTCTTCCTTGTTTCAGTTTTTGGACAAACCAAGATATGTATGCCTGGGGCATATGTGTTTACGACAATAAAAAACATAAGCCTGTTTACAATTTTGAGTCTGATGGAATTTGAAATAGCAGATTTACTGCACTTTGAAGTAGGTAAATTATGTAGCAATATCACATAGCTCCAAAACATCACAAAGAACAGTTTGGGACATTCGATTTATTCTGTAATATTTGTGTATTTCTGAATAGTCACATTTAAAAATAACCAGAAGGCCCAGTAAAGGCTGTTAATGTTTTTTAATGGGTTATATTTTCAGCTGTTATAAATCTGTAGCTACAAGGCAGTGGGTCTGTGTCAGTTTATATTAACTGAACACTCAGCCCAGTGATAAAAGGGCTGCAGAAAGTGATGGCTTGGGTTGAATGGAACCATTTGAATGTGGCTTACAATACTATTTCTAGATCAGTTGGCAGTTGCCTCTAAAACTTCATAACACCCAATCTGAATTCAGGTTCTTGGAAGGTAAACTTGGTTGATTGTAAACTGTTTTCTTCTTCTCCAGAGAGACAGTGAGATCTTTATCTCACCGAAATATACTCAGTCCTCATTTTGCATATCGTACCAAGGGGAACTGCCAAAAGAAAAGATAAAGCTTCTGTAGATTAAGTGAAGCAGACTATTTTTTTAATTTTGGAAATATCATTATTTTATTTCATTATCAGGAATATAATTTTGATGTAATTTTGTTGAGAAAATAGGTGTATTTTTGCAAGTCAGAAGAATGGAGGATTAAGTGCATTTGTAACTTTCTTTTCTTAAACTCAGTGTTGGTGCAGTAAAATGAAAAATATTTATATGTTTCTTGTCAGTTTTAAATGATGTGTATGCCTTATGCATGTTCAGAACATGTGACTGAGAGAAGCAAATTTTTATGTTGACAAGCATTCAGATTAAATGCTAATCTAATGTAAACCTCTTGCCTTCTTGCTGACTGGCAGTAACAGGGGCCAGGTTTAATTCCCGGTGGTTCTCCTTCAGGTAATATCCAAATATATTAATAAGAATACGGAAGACTGGATTAAACCAGCTGGGTGCATAATGGACAGCACTTCCCCACCTGCACACAGGCAATTCCAACAAATATGGGAAGAAAAGGAAAGGATAACAGCTGTGTGTCCCTGGGTATTGCTCTGTAAGCCAAACCATGTCCAATTCCTTGTCCTTGCTGAAGTACAGTGAGGGCAGCCCAAATCTTCCATACTGGGCTGGTCACTGGCAGTCAGTAGTAGTAGAGATGGTCACCAGTCACAGAATCATGGAATCACTACAGTTCGAAAAGACCTTGAAGATCAAGTCTAACCATCAATCCAGTCTTCTCATCCAGTTTCATTGCTTTTCCTGCCTAGCAACAATGCTGAAACCTTCCAAGGTTACCCCACCTCCCTGAGAGCTCCTGCTGGTGGGCAGGTAACCCCGTGTCCGAGCTGCTGTTCCCACCAGGCACTGATGGAGGGGTTGCTGCTGGCCACCAGCTTTGCCTCTGTGTTCCCCTCCTGCCTCGCTGTCCCCTGCCTCCCCCTGAGCTCTCTGGCCAACCTTGGCTAAACTGGATTAGATCCCTTCTGCTGAGGCCCCCACTTCAACAGGTGGACACCACCTCAGACATCTGTCCTGAGGAGTCCCTGAAGGCTGGGACCTTCTGTTCAGGTCACTGGCTTTTCAGGAAGGGCTCTGAAGATTTGGGTACTAATTCCTTAAGTCACTCCTGAACCTTATAAGAACTGCTGTTTGATTCAATCCATGCTGCATCCTCTCATCTTTATTCACCTTCAGCATTCCAAGCAAAGTAGTTGAAGAGGAAAATGTTTTAAAGCAAACTGCTTTTGAGTTCATAGTTTGTTTCCAAATATAACTTGTTCATTTACTTCTCTGCATGCCTTTCTGGGCTGTAGACAGAAAACACAGACTTAAATCAATCTTCTTGGGAGGAGGAGTTTCCACCAGGGAAACTCAGATCCTTTCAGACCTGGTATCTGCTGTCCAGACGTAAGATGCAGAAGAGAGGGCAAGTTAGCTGGAAGTCCTATCCAATAGATTACAGCAGTTTAGTGGTCAATCATATACATCATATGAATTTCACATCATAGTTATGTAAAAACAGTCTCAAAGTGTTACAATAGCCTTTTCCTTAAGAAATCTTCTGGACTGACAGTAAGCTCAGTTGGACTCATACAACGGGTGGGTGCAGGAGGGAATTTTGTTTTCGTGCAATTTAATGTGGTTTTTTTTTTTTTAAACTTTCTGCAATTCCACCAGATACTCAGCAAGAGTGCTGAGTATTATGGTTACAAGAATGTGTACATGCTATAGGCTAAAAGTATGAAATCAGATGGCTTTCACTTCACAAACAGCAAACCTGCTGCACAAACCAGATGTTAACTCACTGAGAAGCTTCATTCAGAAGATGAAGCAGCATCATCTGTCTGTCCCCGAGGCAGAGGAGGAAACTTTTAGCTATGTAGCACTTGAGAATTTACAGTCTCTGAAGACACAATCTGGCATGATAGAGCTGAACAAAGAGAGGACACCTTTAAGCTGTGGCACTTTTCAGAGGGGTTGGGTCCTCAGTACCACTTTTAGAGGCATTACAGAGAGGCAGCCTCCAAGCCCAGCTGGAGAGCAGCAGAACTGCTAGATGATAGGGAAATGTGTGTTTGCTCTGGAAGTGTGGAAGCAAAAATAAACCTTACTTCCTGATCTATTTCTTACACCAAATTATCTTAGATGAGACTATGAATTTCAGCTCTGCCATTCAGATGTCTGACCTCACTTTTGCTGTGCTCTGCTGTAGATGGTGAGGAGGAGTTGCTCAGGTCTCATGGAACTGATGATGGTCATTTGCTCAGCTTCACTGATAAAGCTCCACTTTGGAGGCCCAGCACCCACCCCCTGCCAGCCTGTTTTTGTATGGCATCATCTACATTTAGCAAAGGATCAAAAGAATTTCTTTTTTACCTTAGTATTCTCCATGATGGAATTTCATCTGTTTTACCTAGAGGATGTTTTTGTTGGCCTTGTCACTGAGATGATGTAACAGGTTTACATTGCCTGAGAAGTTTATGTTCAAAGTGACTGCAGCCCATGGGGACTTAACTTCCCTTGTGTTTCCAAAATAAACTTGCTCATTGGCCACCTTCAAAGCCATGGAACAGAATCTGCACATTTCCACATCCAGCAGGTTCAACAATTCCCACAGTTGCTGGACATGTTGCATCATGAGTCTTGGTGCACAGAAGCACCTGCTGACATCAGTGCAGGATGAAGCAAAAGTGCAGCCACCCCAGACTCCTGGCAAAGTCTCAGCTGTGCTGAGCTGGACAAGCAGAGAGAATTGGCAACTCCAGAATCTCCAAAGGGACTTGCAGACATGAAAGAAAAGCTGTAAAAGAAGAAAGTTCCTTAAAACCCTGCAGTCTTCTCTTAAGGATTCTTAGATTAGGCTCTGTACTTTTTCAACTATTTGGGCCTTCTTTTAATATTCAGCTTTGGTGCAGAGCATCTCATTAGTTTAGAAATGGTGTTTTGATTTGAAATCAAGCAGCCCTGAACAGAATACTTTGGTGTGTTGGCTGACAAAAAGTTCAACATAAGTTGGCAATGTGTGCTCAGAGCCCAAAAAGCCAAATGTGCTTTTGTTGTGCATCAGTGTGCCAAATATATCCCGGGCTGCGTCAAAAGCAGCCTGGACAGAAGGTGATGGAGGAGTTCTGTGAAATCCCACCTGAAGTCCTGTGTCCAGCTCAGGGGCCCCCAATATAAGAAGGACACAGACCTGTTGGAGTGAGTCCAGAGGAGGCCATGAAGATGCTCTGAGGGATGGAGCAGCTCTGCTGTGGAAACAGAGAGCTGGGGTTTTTCAGTCTGAAGAAGAATCACGGGAGGCCTTAGAGCTCCTTCCAGTGCCTAGAAGAGCGCTGGAAAAGGATTTTTTACAAGAGCCTCTAGTAATAGACAAGGGGGAAATGGTTTTAAAGTGAAAGAGGGCAGGTTTAGTTTACACATTGGGAAGGAATTATTTTCTGTGAGGGTGGTGAGGCACTGGCACAAATTGTTCATAGAAACTGTGAATGCTTCGTCCCTGGAAGTGTCCAAGGCCAGGCTGGATAGGCTTGGAGAAACCTGGTCTAGTAAAAGGTGTCCTTGCCCACAGCAGGGGTTGGAACCAGATGATCTTTCAGGTCCCTTCCAACCCACATGATTCTGTGATTCCATGAAATAAGTCTCTTAGCATAAGAATTTTATTCTTCCAAGATTCCTAGGATTCTATTTTAAATGCAGTATTTGTCCACATGCATGGAGCACACCATGAAGAACCAGTGTAATCTGTTGACCAAACTACTAACAGCTTTTAGCAGGTGTCTTGCACTTGCTGTGTCTGCTCCAGTTACCCCACACAGCACTGCCCTGTGCACAGGTAAGTCCTTGGTGCTCACCTGAGGAAGAACTCCACAGGTCTGTATGGTGCAACCTAAGAGTGAGCACACTTCTGGTGGGAGACACTTTCTCTTGTCCATCTAACACAAATAGGAACAATTCAAAAATAAGCAATTAATTTTTATACACTTTGGCTGCATAACAAAATTACAGAAGCAGTGTTTGAGGCATGAGAAATTCAAGGCCAAGGTGTTCTGCAGAGCCAGGAATGTTCAGCCCTGACCCTCTCCTCCCATGGGTTAGTGGGATGTTGGAACCAGGAACAGGCATGAGAAATGGCTGTCAGGCAGCTGTGAGGAAACATGGACCATCCCCAGCATCCAGCCTGGTTTTAACCCATGCCCAGTGCTGAGGTGTCAGTGACTTTCTGGTAAGGACAGGTGTAATCATGTCCCACCTTCTGATGAAACAGTGATCATTACTGAGAAGAGATTATTGCTATGTAAAGGATCAAGCCCATAACTGCCAAATTATTTCACCTGTTTTCCTTCTTCCCCATTCATCAAAAGCTGTAACCTATAGTTTCACCACCCAATGCTGAGTGCTAGCTGCAGCTTTTGCTGATGTTGTATCTTTAATACTGTGTTTTTGTGGACAGATGTCTTTT